ACACGGCGTCCTGGGTAAGCGGCGACAAACGGCCGGTGCGGCCGGTGCGACCGGAACGGCCGAAGCAGTGATTTTCAAAATTAGAGCATCATAGGTTCTGTCCTACGTACGAGGTACCGCCCGGCACAAGCGGCTCGTGCGGTTTTCATGCGGACGACGTGATCAAATTATTTGATAATTCCGCCTCTGCCGCTTCAGTTTACATTTTTAAATCTTAAAAATTATATGAGAATTATATAATCGACCATTCGAGAGAATGGACCTGCACCCTTAACAGAAATAGGCGTTAGCATCGCGTCGGCCACTTCAACCGCGTCGAACGCGCCGGCCGCACCGGCCGTTTGTCGCCGCTCACCCAGGACGCCGTGTTAGGGCTGTGACAGCGACAAATTATTTCTAATTAATGTTATACATTAATTAACGGCTATGTTGATAAATATTTGCCTCGGGTAAAATGCTTGATTTTTACAGTAGAATAAAGTGTTTGTATTTCCGGAAATCGCTATGGTAATGCAAGGTTCCATTGGCGGTTGGTGATACGCAATTTTCGTGCAAAATTCTTCACACCATGTTTTGCAATAACTACGACAGTCCTTACGATATTTGAATTGAATTTCAAGAATAGAATAAGCCAATAAATTTCTATTATCGCAACTACGGTAACAATTTATACAGGGTGATTCACAACTTATCCAAAAAAATTTGGGAATAGATGCAGCATGAGAAATGGAATCAATATCGTAAAAAAAATTTTTGTAAAATCCTTATAGTTTCCGAGAAAAAAAATATTAATGCTATAGTATTCAACCACTACATAGCTGGACAGCTGTAGTCTCTAGCGCCATTCGCCACGTGGCCTCAGCGACTCCGAATACTGAATTTGGATTTTGCAATCGTCGTTGCGATATTTACTTGCTATCTGTGGTGTTTACAACAGGTTTTTAGTAGTTAGTGTCAAAAATGGGTAGTTTGTGTCAAAAATGGTTTGCGTGTACTCGGAGTTGATAGATATCGTTTTAATTTATGGTGAAGCATTTGTGTTACGGTGAAACAAGACAACATTTGTGTTAGTTCGTAGAAACTGAGTACAACGGACCCAAATGTGTTTACACATTGGTGGATCAAATTTTGAACAATTGTTGTAACATCGGTAATGTCAAATGATTTTATTATTTAAAAACACAAATTAATTTTATAAATTAATAAAGGCAAAAGCAGTTGAATTTGCCGATATAAAATAGGTGCGATAAAATTCTATTTACATATTTCTTTCCTTGCAAAAGTTTTTGTCCGTTTTTATCACACCGCCATGCCGATCGCATTGTGCGAGGTCAGGTTTTACAGTGGACCAGTTTCCAGTGCCGTGCAGAAGTGTATTTTTAAATCATTTTCGAACTGCCCTTTTTGATTTTTTCTTTACAAAACTGTATTTGTAAGGGTCCCCTGTACATCCAGAATTTTTTTTTTGGATAAGTTCTGAATCACTCTGTAAATACTTTGTTTCACTTAAAGTCGGAACACCTCCGTATTTAGGATGGAGTTGGCCGATTTCCAAAATTCTTTTTTTTTATGTGATAGTACTCAAAAAGTCTTACTCTTTGATATTGTATTTTTTGACATGTGATCTTTTCTACAGCCTACTATTAGTAAGAAAAGACCCTCAAAAATTAAAATACATAAGTATTAGGCATTTTTTTAAGAAAAAATGGATAGCATTTTCGATTTAATGACACCTCAAAACTCTAAATACAAATGTTCATTGTTATAGCTTTTACAGGGTCTTCACAAAATAGGTGCAAACTTTTTAAATTTCACTCATTGCAGAGTTTCCTGTATTAACAGTGAAAAGTATTTTCGAGGTATTTTTCCATAATTTTATTAACCGAAGGTATATCCATGCAGTTTCATTGATTTCACTCATACAGGGTGCTCACAATAAAACAGCCAAGTTATATATTTCTTCTATTACCTATACCAGAAATGAGTTTCACAACGAACGTTTTCTATTAGCACACCATCATTTGGTATGTACTATTTAATTCGTCTCCTCTTATTTCTAATAAGTCTCCTCACTGATGTGGTATTATTTGTCGACATGCTTGTCTAATTCTATTACATAAATCTTAATTTAAAAAATTAATGTATTTTGTGGGATTTTATGTTATCGAATAATCGGGCCCTTCTTTTTTAACGTTCATCTATACGCAGAGATTTTTTTGAATTTTTTCGTTTTGTGAATATTATAAATCATGTTTCTAATATCCATTTGTTCCATTACGTTATGTTGGTGTTTGCACGTATCTTCTTGCGTTTTTTAGAAGAACTAAATTTTACTTCACTATCACCATTGTTTAGAGCTTGTAATTAGACACTTTCACTTAAGATTCTCCCTATAGTGACTAAAGATTCTCATGTAGTAGCTACAACACGGTTTTATTAATTGTATTTTATTTTCATTTGGAAAAATTGTCTTAAAATAATTATACGCGTTAAACACGATAATTTTCGACTGTGAATTTTTATTTCTTTTATTTTTCACCTCCTTTGATGTTTTTTAATAAGAAATTACACTGAAAATGCACAAGACGATACACTTACGAAGAAATATGTCTGCGTAAGTGCAAAACACTGTATGCACTGCAAGCTGCTACGGTGAACGCCACTCCGCCAATGTCTGCTGTTAATTCCAAGAAAGTAGCGCAGGGGTCTTCTTGGAATTATATCTCAACAGATATCGATATATTTAGCAACTTTCTTTTATTAATTGTAAAATTTTCCTGTACCTATGTATGAAAAATTTTCCAGTACCTATGTAAATATTGTGTCACAACATTGTATAGAAGTAAAAGTTGCCATTATTACACTTTTGCATCACAATCTTACCTAACACATTCGTACTTACTAGTCGAGTCATGGAACTAAAAAAAAAATTGTGAAGTAGTATTTTAATTTTACAGGTGGTGTTTTATGTGGTATTTGTCATTTTGTAGATTTATATTTTCCTCCAACTGTCAGATGCGTTGGTCCAGGGGGTCCTACAACATTAAGACCAACAATCTTGGGAAAACCGATAACCCAGTTGGAGAGGTTATGGGCATACTTGACCGTTAAACAGTTACTGGACCGAAGAAACTCTGCAGGCAATAATACGGAATTAACAAAAAGAGTCGTTGATTTGGCTCAAAAATATACCTTCGTTACTGATGTCACGTCTCTTGTGGTAGTAAAACCTAGTGGTAACTCTGTTGTTGAAATAGAAAGCGCCAGTGTGGGTTAGTATACACAAAAACATCTTTGACAAAAACAAGAATTCCATATAAATAATTTTTAAAATAAGTATTTTTCCTTAGAAGGCGACGAAACAAATCGCCGTGGTAAATACGCTTTCAGATCATAAATTTGAACCTACAGGTGCAGAAGAGAAAATGGTTTTAAAGTCTTATTAATAAAAGGTAAAATTTACTTTAAAATTTCTCTTTTCACTTTAGCTCCTGTCACTTTCTTGAGTCGCTTCGGGTTTGGTTCTGTAAATGACGATGAAACTGAAAATGAAATTGAGCCTGAAACTGAAGCTCCTTCCCTTCTCAGCGTTTTACCCTGGCTGGGATCGGTATTGCAAACAAATGAAACTATTACTGTGGGCCCAAGTAAGTTTCTTTGTTTAATTTATTTTCGCTCAAATGAAGTTAAAAAAATATTAAAACTACTTGTTTTTTGTGTAGATCTCTCTAACTACCCTTGTCTTAATGAGTCTAATATTTCTAAGATATAAGATATATTTTTGCCGGTAGATGCTTATGAATTAGGAAATAACTACAACACGAATACGGAAGTAGAATGTCCAAAAACACCAGTCAATACTACAGAGCCTGGTATCTGTGTCCTTTTAAAGGATTGCTCGGAGGTTTATAAAGATTTGAAAAATTTTCAGACCTACCAAAGTTATTTCTGTCCAGTGGATACCAAGTAAGTTGCTTATATAAAGTATTCATTAAAGTACTGAATACGACTATAATGAAGTAAAAGAAAAAAATTACTAAAGCAAGTAATATTCACATATTTAAATGCTTTTTAAAGTAAAATAGTACTATAAACCCAATCAAAGCGAAGTTACAAGCTTACATTTGGTATCTATAGAACCGTTACAGTTTTATTTTTTTTTGCAGATACGCGGGAATCTGTTGTCCAAAGGAATAATAACAAAGTAAAAAAATTGTGAAAACATTTCGATTTTAATATATGTATGTGAACAAATATTCAAATAAATAATTTTAATTTAGAGTTTTTTTTTTCTATTAGAAAAAGATTAAGATATTTTGTTTTCTATTTCTTATATTATGTACAACATGATAAAATACATGTGAGAATTAAATAATTATTGAACCCTACTTAACTGGGTGGTCTTATCTATGAGCTGCCTGATTCACAAAACCCTTATTTTTCACAGATCACTTCTTTGTTTAAATTGTTCAATGGAAGATTTTAATTAAAGCAATGTATAATAGTCAGAGTAGTTTAGTATTTACTGATGAACTCAGTATTGTGCAGAGCAAGAGCCTACATAAAAGTCTACAAGCCACGTGACTGCCGAGTTTATAGACTACAAGCTCATCGGAAATTTTCAAGGGGTCATTTGACCCAGCATGAATTACTTATAAATCAATACTACCACATATAACAATACAATAACTTTAGAAACTATGCCGTCAATTCTTGTTGGTACTGGTGAATACACCTGCTGATTAAGCCAAACGTGTTCACCTGGGGGGGGGGTTCGACAAAACATTTTTTACGCAATTGAACCTCGACTTAATGCCGTACAAAAATAGCAATACCGGAAGCCAGGAAAATTTTGGCCCGGGTTTTGCTGATTTATTACAGTACGGCATTTATACTGCAAGTTTCGGATCGATAGATCGATACATAGATAAGTTTTTAAGCGACGCCGTACATACTTGCTGATACAGGGGTTAGGAATACATGGTGCAACTCTCTATTTGTAAGTAGCGTGTGGGGGTGACCAACATCAAATTCACTAATTTTAATTCTATTTTATAAAATAATGACATTTGGCGATGCCGTACATTTTTCATGAAACATGTGCTTACTATAGAAAAATTAATTTCCCTCTGAAATTATTAATATAATAATAATAATGATTTATTTTCCATTAAGACAGACATTAATAAATTTTGTTAATATATACAACAATAATCATAATAATAATCAACAAAAACAAAATGGCGTACAAAAAAATGGTTCTAAATGACTTGAAATATATTTTTGTAAATAATTATTACTTGCAAGAAATGATTTTATTTTTACTACTACTTTCTCACTTACTAGTTTTACTACTGTACGGCCTTTCTATAATAAGACTTACAATATCATTTAGAAATATTTTTAAGTAATGCCGTACATATTTGTCGATACAGAAGTGAGAAACCCCGGATGCAAACCTTTATATTCTGACCCTTATGGTTTCCGATCATTGAAAAATGGTCGGCATTGTTGCTAAAACATTATTTAAGATGTAAAATAATTTTTAATTAATATGCCGTTAAAAAAACATAGGTCGAGTAAAAATTATTAATTTTATAAATTTGAAAAGCTTATATATTAATTTTTTTTCAAAACAATCTTAAAATTGTTTTTGTAACAAGTGCACTTTTAAATTATTTTTATTAATTTTAAACATATATTGTATGCCGATGGCTTCATCACAATTTTTGCATAAATAAATTGTTCAAACAATTGTTACAGAAGTTGCAAATATGCAATTGCAAGGGTACCTACTGTTATTTCAAAACATATCAGTGTTTTAAATGGAAGTATTTATATAGGAATTCTCATGAATATTGAGTTAAAATTAATTGTTTATTATTATATTTATTTAAAAATAATACTTTCTTGCACGTCATTAAATTATTAAATTTTTCAAAATATTTTCTCGATTCTCAATACACAATTTTTAATCTTAAAGACAATGCCATCATAATTTCTACGATATAAATTAAATTTCTCTTGAAATTAGGATAAAACTCATTTTGGACTTATACAGTTTCGGAGAATTGTTCCAACGAATATATACAGCATTGCAATTTTCATTCTTTATGTTATATTTCTGCTGAAAATTTGTAAATGCCGTATAGTTATTAGTGACCTAAAAATGTAGTAAAAATTTAATGAAAAATATTATCAGCTATGTAAAATCCACTAGTTAAAAATGTACGGCATAGTTTATTTTATTTTTTTTTTTACTTATGAAAAGTTAATTACAGAAATAATATTTTGAATATAACATTTTTAGTTTATAACAAAATATTGTAAATTTTAAAAATTTATTTATTTGTTTTTTAATTCGAATTAAAAGTTCGATTTGTACCATTAATTATACCATCGTACCATTTACACCATTAATTATGCGCCATGATTTAGTACGATAGTTTTTGGTTATATTATTTCAAACAAGTGGTTGCCGTACAGGAATTAATGATCTTATCGAAAAAAAAAACTGAGACATTATTTTTCCTGTTTTTTTTTACTTTACTCTTTTTGCGTATTATTTTAGCATGTGTGAATACACTTGTTGCATAATATCCATTTAATTGTTTTTCGGTGTCTTTATTAAAAAACACATTTTCTTGTGCATGTGAAATTATTTAAACCCTACATTAAAGAAATCTCATATGAAATAATAGTTCAGGTGAAAAAAATTTGCAAAATACTTATTTATGGTTAGTTTAATAATAATTATTAGAAAAAAGAGCAAAACAAGTAAAACCAAGAGTCACTAGATAATTTAAGAGAAATCGATCTGCTTGAAATAATTAACATTATTAAATCATATGTGATGCCAAACACCGTTTAATTTTAGAAATTATTATATCATCAGTTTTAAAGTATCTCAATTTTTTTAAGTCTTCTGTAACAAAAAGCGGGATGCGCGGTGTTTATTTGTTATTTCTCGGAACGGATGGGCCAACTCAGACAGTAAAATATTTCAGTCAACAATAATTATTGAAAAGTTAAGGGTTTTCAAGTAGGTTTAGCGTCGCCATAAAGTCGTCGAGAGATTAGTGCCTTTTTGTCACCGGGAGTAATAAATTTGCAAAGCCGTCCTTCAGAGAAGGCCTCATGCAATTTAGCAATGTTTTTGAACAAGTTCATCTAGATTGTCAGGGTCATGTGTTAGGCATCTGTTAGCGACGGTTTAGCCCATGGTGAGGGGAAAAATCGATATTTCTAATAATGCGCGAAATGCATTCGAAAAGTCGTAGAAATTCCAAGATATTTAAATAAGTTGTTAGAATGTTATGAGGAAAATAATAATAGATCAAATGGTTGGTTTTTAGGCGGATTTTCCAAGCTATAAGAATAGATTAAATGAGATTGACTAATCTGCCCCGTGTTGCTATAAGGGGTCACAAGAGGAAGGTGTGGGGTTACTTGTAAGTCCAGGTATTCACAGAATTATTCATACAATTGTAAATTGTAAATTGTATGAATATGAAATTGTAAATTCAGTCAATTAGATAACTATTAACATCCACATAAGCTCACTCCACAATTAAATAAATCAAGAATGATTAAAAACTTCATTTCACAAAAAAAATAGTTGCAAACAGTATTTTTAATTTTCTGATTGGCGAAGGGTAAATTTCAACACCATTGAGTGTTGCAGATTTACTGTTCACATTTATTTAAAATTGAATTTGCAACAAAAAATCTTTAGAATTATTTTTGATTTATTCAAATGTGTAATAAGCTTATTTTAGATGGAAAAAAAAGTGATATTTTTCAAAAATTTTAGCATCCTGTTTATCGGAAAAAGCTTTAGCGCTTACGTACGTTATACTTTATAACTTACCTTGGCCTAAGGAATGTCCCTAATTTTTTTTGGCCAATTTATGACACCCTGTATAAATCACGAAGTTATCCGAAATATTTGTATTTAAAATCATTCTGTAAAAATGTGATTTGTAAATGGAAAATAAACTCTTTTTTAAATGTTTGACTAGTACATTTATTTATGGACTCCTTTCCATTAAAGTATTTTTATCTAAGTACTAAACAAAGTATAATATTACAATACATGCCATATATTTAACAAGTAACAGTTACAATTTTAAATATCAATTACATATAAGACAATAATATAGATATAAATAATATTTATGGAAAACAGTTAATCTTGAATAAAATTGAACTGACAATTTGCTTCATACTAGAACTGACTAGCAATAATTGGGGATCATTTTTTGTATAATTAAAGTTTTCTCCTGCAGTCTTAAATATATTTGTTCATAAATGTACTCCAAATTCTTAGGAACTATATGATATGGTATTTATAATATATATTGTATACAATGTCAATTATAATAAAAATATTGGGATTACAAGAATGCACTGTATTTTAAAAATATTTACTCCCATTTTGTTTTATAAATTTTAAAGGGAATGCAGGGCAGATCTTGTAATTCATGAATTTTTAAAGGTATTGTATCCAGAGCCGTGACATGTACATGGTCAAATGCACATGGCTGAACTATAAATATTAGTACGGGATAAATTTTTATCCGTCCTTTGCCTAATTCAATGGTGAGACATGTTTAGCTTAAATATGCAACTAATTGAATATGTCCATTCACATTTAGAACAAAATTTGCCAATTTTCCACAGTACTTTTAATATAGGGGTAAAGCTACTCTAGAATTTTGAAAATATAGATAGAGTCTCAGATCAAGCCGAAAAGAAAAGGATGAAGAAAATATGAATATAGGAGGCCAATTATATTATATGTACATTTTTAGTATTAGTATTATCAATCAATAAAATAAAAATCAACACTAATATTTTAAATAAACAATATCAACTAATAATGTAAGAACATTAACATTTTAAATAAACTTAAATTGATATTTGTAATCGAATTAAAATAATATTACAGTAAATCCTCAAAGTTACTTCCTTGTTCTTAAACGCAAGCATTAGTTTTTCGACAATTAAAATGAATTTTATCCAATAATTGTGCATTACCTCTCATAACACTAATTTCATGTTGCATTCTTTCCCATTCGTTTTCTGTATTTACTGAAAAGTTATAAACTGCGGACCTCAACGCTCCCCAAAGGAAATAATTACATGCGTTTAGGTCCGGGGATCGAGGTGGCCATTTTAAAGGGGCATTATTTCCTATACCTATCCACCTGTTAGTATAGTAACCTGTAATAACTGGTCATTTAATACTCTATTAATGGAACTTTTTGAAAGCCAACCTCTGCCGCTAAACACCTTTTATTTACTTGAGGAATTTCTTCGACCATTTCCAGTAACGAATCTTTATATAATTTTGTATTTATAATTTTTTTCTAAACCCCAAAAATAAAGAAGTTAACTGGGGAAGGGGGGAAATTATAATTAATCAGCATGTACGTTTGTTAACATATAAAAACAACAATTTAAAAGTAAAAATCGACGGGTCCGAGAATTTTTTTGAAATACAGTGGGTGGCCAAATTATTAGGGACAGTACTCAATTTCTTATATTTTCCAGTTTGACTGAATTTTTTTGAACAAACAGTTGGTTCTATGGCTTGTAGCTATTTTTTATTCAAAAGAGTGTAAGTTAAGATCATAAAAACGAGTTACGTGGGAGAAACTATTAATTTTTTTCGTAAAAGCTATATATGTGCGTCAATGGAAATCTGCTAAAATTAATCTTAGTATTTAGTGATGCACCCTTTGCCGCAATTAAAGCTTTTATGTCTCGAGGCATGCTCTCTATACAGACTTTACAATTCTGTTGGAGTTCGAAGTTGTGATGCCATTCTCTGATGAGAGTTTCAACCAATTGGTGCTTGGTGGTGATCACCTCATTAGCAATTGCCCGTTTGGTGAGTCCCCACATGTTCTCTATAGGGTTCATACTCAGTCAGGGCAAAATGGTAATGTTTTTTCAGCCAGGAACGCACTAACACTCCTGGCTTTGTGGCTCGGTGCCGAATCGTATATAAAAATGAACTCGGCATCACCAGGGAACCATTCTTCGATATGTGGCAGTAGCCGGATTTTTTGTACTCGCTTGTACGGATCCTGCCTCATGATCCCCTCCACGATGTATAGGCGTATTATGCTCTTTGCTGAAATCACAGACCATACCATGACGCCAACAGGGTATTTAACCATCACCACAAGGCAGTCTGGATGGAACTGCTCTCCCTCCAAGACGTCGTCGGAGAAATTAAGTTTTGTCGACCAAAATTTGTAACGCTGATTCGTAGGAAAAAATTGAGATAATCACAAAAAAATCTTTATTAACACTATTTTAATTAGTTGTTTTCATTCGAAGCAGTCAGCAATAGTCATATTCTGGAGTTATTGGGCTCATTGCAGCCGCATCTTCTTCATGACCTCCAACAGAAGTGGTTTTTGGGTCGACAACGACCGATCAGGTTTTCTTCTGCCAGTCATCTTCGGACTGTCATTAGGGAAATTACAATTCCTTCATTGTTTATTATAGTAATTCTATACGAAATATCAATAACGTTTTGATAATTTGTAACAGGAAAAAGTCACGAAAAACGATTCAGAAATATTTTTTAGCATCTCACTGTAACAAAAATTTTTAATAAATTAGCACCATATGAAGAGTAACCTCACTTATCTGATAAATGATGCAGAATATCAGGTTGCCACTCAACAAAAATATTAATAACAGTACCAGCTGCAATAAAAAATAAAAAAACCTTGTGAAGACCTATTTGTTTTTTCAAAAAAAGGAAATTGAATTAGAAACTTCATAAATATGATTAGTGTCCCTAATAATTTGGCCACCCACTGTATGTTTCTCAGCGGTTTTATATAGTTTATTCGTTACTTTCGTTACTCTGTACAACATCTTAACAAGCTACTTACAAATTCTAGTTTATGGCTTACAAATACTTACAAATGACTTACTAATTCTTGATAATAAGAAAATTCGCAAATTCAACAGAATTGAGGCCCTCTAGAAGTTAGCCTCGATCGTACGGGATATTTAGGAATACGTCTTTTAAATACCCTACCAATCCATATAAGGAATCTCAATCCGAATCAATTTAAAAATAGAAAAAAAATCTTTTGAGAAACGCATTTTATGATATTGAGCAGTTTTTTGGCAGTGATTTAAATCTCATGTGAGCTCCGAGCTATTGTATTTATTTTTAGTCTTCTTTTATCTCATTTTATTTATTCTGTTATAATGTGCATTTTAAGATTAAAATTCTTGTTTTTACTTAATGTTAGGACTATGTATGTGTCTGTAATTGTAACTGTGTTGTAATTTGAATATTCAATGTTTCTTTTCTGACGTGTGTAAACACTTTGTGTAATAATACGAATCAATAAAGTTGAAAAATGAAATGAAAATGAGAATGTCGCTAGGATCAACTGTTGCCAAAAAATACAATTAAAGGACGATTTAACTCAATTTACATTAATTCAAAATTGCTTTGTTAGGGCGCAATCAAATAAACTGCAAAACAAGCAATTGAACAAAACTGAAAATATGTAAATTTTATTAATTATGCAAAAACACTTTAAGTAAATGTTCAAAATAACCTCTGTTTTCATATAACACGTATTGTCAGGTAGGCTCTTATCTTTAAATTTATTTTGTATCATAAAATAAAAAATGAAAGAATGAATGCATGAATGGAATGATAGGCAGCGAAATTTTTCACCTTGAATGAAGTTGAAGTTTTATAACGTTGTCACGTTTCTATCAAATAGTGAAGAAAAATGAAATTATTAACTGACGCCTCCTATCTATAATTATCAACTTTTGTACCAAGATAATAAGGTTCACTTAAAACAACATTTTTATGCATTTAAACAAATGGCTATTCTATTAATAAGAATGACCTTTTCTCATAAAATAAAAAATGAAAATGTTTTTCCTCTTTCCTCACTTCATTGTTATAAAAAATGTGTACAAGATTATTCTTAATCAATCGTTTATAAATGTTGTTATTGCCTATTTACATATTTTAAAGAAATTTTAAAGTTAAATCTAAACTCCGAATAATTACGTCAAGTCAGATCACGAGCATTTGAAATTAGAACCGAATATGTAAAAATGTGTATCATGTGTAAAAAATATATACCTACATTGAAACAACAAAAATAATACCAACTCCGAAAATTATGTTTTTCAATTTTACAGTCAATTTCAAACTGAATTAATATATCTAATTTTTTATTTACTAACTACATATATACCTAGAAATATAACAACATATGAGTAGAAATATAATCCCAAGAAAATAATTAATGTTTCGATATTTTAAAGACACCGTTTGATAATGATACTAGAGAATTGTATATACGTATATAAAAACAGATTATTTTTTTCCAAGCATACGTATGTATTATCTAATTAAATGGAAATTTATTATCTTCTTTTATAATTCGATTATAATATGACGTTAAAAAATAAAATGAGAAATATGTTATGTAAATAATAAGAATAAGTTTCTGGGTTCGTGTGAAATTTTTAGGTCAATGAAATTAATAACTTTGGTTAACAGTTGTTAACAATTCCCAGGTGGTTGCCACATTGACAGTTTAGACTCCTTGACGTTCCGAGATACAGAGGCTCTTTCTCAGTTTCTGAAGAAGAAAGCGTTATGTCTGTCGAAAGCTCTCTTGATTTGACCTCAAAAGGCCATCACATAAAATATGTGACCATGCTCATATTCTGATGCGAAAAAATAACACAATCACCAAATGTCAAAGATAATCGATAAAATAAGAATCTGTGACTCTATCCTAAAAATAAAATAGGAGCGACAAAAAAATATAATAGATTGTAGTTAAAAAGTTTCATCTTTTAGATTATTTCGAGTAGTATTTCACACATTCCGCCGGTGATCAATAAAAGTGTTGAATGCATACACTGTGTCCTAAAATGATGGAACAAAATTCAATTTTTTCTCCAGTTCAGATTTTAAAAAATCGCTGAAACAGGCAAATTAGTATATATAAATTGTCTTTTTTGCAATATCTTCTATTTTTTTGAGCAATATTTGAGAGACCTATAACATTACCGACATTTTTTTTAATAGGACGCGCCATATTTTATAGCCCTTCTAAATACGAATTCCCCGATATAAGGTTATACCTACATTTTTGTCTTGTCCATCAAATTGTGATGCTCACAAAATCCTCACTCATCCATTAGATCTATCTCAGCCAATTTCAACTTGTCAAAATCCTCAGTTCACAGAACTCTGAAGTATCAAAAGTGCCATGCTTACAAAGTTAATGTCTTACAAGAACTATGGACAGATGACACAGATAGAAGATTACAGTTTTGCTAGGAAATTAAAAATTTATTTGAAAGACAAGCAACTTTTTGCTTAAACGGAACCGTGAACAGGCAAAATACTAGGTTTTGGAGCCCAGAAAATCCTCATTAGATGAAAGAAAAACATACGCAACGGCCGGAAAAAGTGAATGTTTGGGCTGGAATAGTAGGAAATCGCATAATGTGACCTTATTTCTTTGAGGGCAATTTGACAGGCTACATTTATTTGGATTTTTTGAGTTTTCAACTGATTTCAGCCCTGAAATTAATTTTTCCTAGCCCTAAGGAGCAGGATATGCCTGCTGGTGATATCTGGTTCCAACAAGATGGTGCCCCTCCACATTTTCGCCTCGATGTAAAAAATTACCTTAATGAAGTTTTCCCAAACCGATGGATAGGCAGAAAAGAGCCGCGCTTGAATGGCTACCACGCTCCCCTGACTTAACCCCACTAGATTTTTTTGTGTGGTTATCGATAATGCAAAATGTATGTGAACAGACGAGACACTATCGCAGGATTGAAAAATCGTATTAGAGAAGAAATTCGAAACACCAAATGTTATTCAAAATGTAACTGATAACTTTGAACACCGAATTCGGCATTCTGCAATGGTAAAATAAGATCCACTTCATATTTGTGGAAGGGCGAAATGGGCGGTGACTATTAGACGCTTTCATTATAGCCTTCTTTCTCTATCGCACGGATTTCTATGACTTACTTTATCGCTCTCACGTAACGGCCGATGAACCATGGGAACTTTTCGACCCTGTATGTTGGCAGGTTGGCAAAAGAGTGTGTCATAAAATTATAATGCGTTAGACTGCCAGTCAAATGCTTAAACCGGCTCTAGATAATCCAATCACTCGATAAACATTTGTCAAACATAAATGTATTAAATATTTTCAGATTATTTGGATATGAGCACATAACAAAGATTTTTTCAATTGTTTCTAAAAGTTAGCGTATCACTGAGGAAAGGAATGAATTGGGAGAAACGAATATTATTAGTAAATCATTTAGTTGCTAAGTAAATTAGCACAGTCTTTAATTTATTCGGAAAAGCTCAATACGTTTAAAAATAAAGTAAAAGTACCTACAAGAGATAATAATAAAATTAAATAAAGATTTCTTTGATTTCTTTTTGACCCAAAAATCAAGAAACTTACATGACTAGTCAGTAATTTGAAAAACATTGAAATTATTGCTCTGATTCCACAGTAATCATATAACCCCATAACCTCATAACCCCATAACCCTATAACCCCGTAACCCGATAACTCGGAATGTGCGGCAGAAGAACCAGGAAACTTTCAGGAAACGTGGCTATATAAATAGTTCGTATGTCAAACGCTTTTATACATTTGCGATTTTGTACGAATGTAGAGAGTGCAATTTTATTGAAGTGGCGATATGGCTGTTTGTATATTAGTATAGATTCATTATCTTTTATTTGTGTACCTTGAGCACATCACATAACAAATAACTACTCCAAACGCTGTGCATTTTGCATAGTTTTGCCGAATATTTGACATGTGTGCCGAAATGCACCATCTACACAATAAGGCATTTGTATACGTTTGACAAACGAGTATGTGTACTCCATAAAATCTACACATATCCGAATTCTCGACCACACTATACTACATTTGTTTACATTTTGCAAATATTTGGCAAGTGGCCGAACCACCTAAAGCAAGCTTTATTATCTCTTTCTAGAATGTTACCTGATGGCACATTCTTTTTGCCATAGATTCCTTATTGTTCTTATTCTTCACTTATTAGCTTATATTCCTGTAATTCGATTAGTCATTAGAAAAATCTGAAAGGATTTCTGCTGAGTAACGGAGAAAATAGGAGTATCACCTCCATTTTATGGAGGACCATCCATAGAGATATTTATTTTATAGTTACATACATTATTATCAAAGATGCTTCAGAATTTGCTCTGTAGTCTACCGTTGTAGGACGAAATTGCCTTTTTTTTAAATCCATGCACATAAGTTTCTACTCTTTTTTTTTAAATTATACCACAGTATATTTTTCCACATTGCCATTAATATTTGCTAAATTCATTAATAAACAATAATAATATGTTACCAAAACAATAAATATATTATTCCAAAAACGAATTCTAGAACATTTTTCTCTTTTTTAGGGTACGTCAAACCGCAATTTACCTCAACATCCAGAGATATACGGAATGGATATAATATCAAATATTTCCAACCGTTTCGTAAAAACCTTGGTAGTAAGCAAAGTGAAAAACAAGGAAAATGTGGCAAAAGAAACCACTTTTACTGTTGTATTACCGGATAAGGCCTTTATTTCTGAGTTTGTCATGGAAATTGGTGGAAAAAGTTACAAAGCATACGTAAAGGAAAAAGAGGAGGCGAAACAAATTTATGATGAGGTTTGTTTACCATTTACAATAACTATATACAGATAAATATTATATTTAATTTAAATATGTATCATATGAATAAGGAAAATGTTAATTGTAAAACTTAAATTTCTTCGTAACTTATATTTCAAATTTGTATAATTGCTACAGGTGTGTGATGATTTACCACTTTTTTTTTCAAAATACAGTATTTAATTATTTCAGTTTATATATTAATCTTAAAAATTGTTCAATGTTCAAAATAATAGGTGTGCAATTCCCAATAAAGTGATGCTATAATATAGCGGCCGGTATCTAGCGTCATATAACGTTAAAAAAATACTAACGACGGGATGTTAGGACGCATCCCTCATCATACCAACCTCAAAGGAGGCTTGAGAGTGTGGACGTCGCGCTTGTCGATTGTCCTCCATTGGAGACAAAGTAGATTCCTAGAAATGTGGGAAATGATTTAATTTGTTATGTCGTACACTATTATACACCCCTGGAATAGCTCGGTTTCCTGGAGGTATTCAGTTGAGTCTTGTTGCACTAATGTTTTTGGCGACACTTCGAGTATCGTCACTCTGGTGTCCATATCAGTCTTTCAGGCTTTGCCTTCTATGAGAACCTGAAATATGTAGCTAAGCTTCTATAAGTACCTACCTGTGAAGTTTGGGCAGCTTCTATTAGCTTATTTTATCCCTTAGGATATTCACGACAGGATTGGACAATGGCTGAGTAGATGGGGTGCTAGAACTGAGGTCGGGAACAATGTGCTCGCAAAAAATGTTGTGAAGTTTATTACCAAAGTTTTAAATTATTAGAAATAGATTTATACAATCGATCATACAAAATAATAAAAATTTATAACGCCTGGTTAAAGAACATCGAGGTATCAGGGTCGACGGTCCATCACGATCCGTGATGTCCGCCTTATGTTTGGACAGTCGGCCGCTTTGGAATTTATCCATATTTGGATTGTAGCTGACTGGAACTGATGATCGAATTGTATACTAATGCTCTAATTTGGTTTTGTCTTAAAGTTTGTCAGTTCGAATTCCGTAATAATAATAATACTGGGTGCAGAGCTACCGCCTATGACTCGCGGCAAACCTGAAAAATTTACTGCGGTTTCGAATTTCAGTAGCTGATTAAATTCGAAATGAGGAACTACAACATAAAGCCAAGCCACCACAACAAACTATAGTTACGGCAGAAACCAATACGGGTCCGTCATAGCAGGTTCAAACATCGATTTGAATACCTTACAACTCATTAATCAGGGACTACAAAGTACGTGTGGTATGCTTCAAATTTTCTATTCACTAAACTGAACATTTTTACAATTTCAAAACAAAAATTTAAAATATCTTTGCGTGCACATTGCTCCTGCCCTAGAGCATCTATCTAGTGTCCAAACCGACCAGGAACCTGTGAGCCTACGGCGAAGATCCTACGAGATACAGTAAGTTCCAAATAGATACTCTACGAAGACCTCAATAAAATCAGACTATAAGAAGTTTTCACATTAAAAGTATTTTTAGGAGACCTTAAAACACTACCAAAAAACAATTTTATTGCAAAAAAGCTCACCTGTAAACCTCCGAAATCAGTGTCATCCCGAGAGTGTATCTAGTGTGGAAAAAGTCGAATAAACTAGAGGATGGACCTAACCTCTAGACAGGGTCAAAGACAACCGACTGCAAGCATCTATTGAGGTTAATCTGATGGGAAAGGTATCTGAATATCTGTTCTCTTCTTTGCAAGCGAGCAGTAGGCAAAAGTCCCAACACCGCAGGCGACAAACGAGGATATCTGTAAAAATACCAGACTAGAGGAATTGTGAAACCTGCAAAAAACGTAATCCTCGACAATACCTTTACAGTATAGTTTTTGTGATGTTGTTTGCTTCTATATTAAGGCACAGCATTCCTATGGGAAAACCAAAGCTTTACTGTCTATAATTATTTTATGATATTTTGTGTCATTTTTCACAGAATTGTTTATTTAGTCAGGTATTTTGCCATACTGAAATAATGATTGACCAGAAATAACGCACAATCACTAGAAAGCAGATAATTGATCGTGTGTTCACTCTAATACATTTTTTTACAAAAATATCTTCGTTAAATCTTATAAACAATTATTTGTAATATAAATTTGATTCTGGTTAATTCTCAGTTTAAGTTTAAGTTTAACAAAGATAAGAACAAGAGGTCAACGTAATATTTCGATAATGTAGTCATAACAACATTCTTTGTTATACAGGGTGTATTTAAATGGAGGGGCACAAATGATACCAGATATTCCTTGGGTGAAAAAAGTCGATTTAACCTAATATACCTATATCCCAAGTTGCATATTAAAAAAGAGACAGGGTGTCAAAATGGAAAATATAAAATGGTTTTTCCTTAATAATTTCTATCATTTTAGTCAAAAATGTTTCAAATTTTCAACAGAGATTTTTTAATGATAGGAAAAATAATATAATAATGATTTTTGAGTGTCGAGTACGAGGCGCTCTCTGCAGGCAACGTTATGCATTGAATATGTAGTAACTTTTTTTTCAACCATCGTATACAACTTTTAGTAACAAAATATGAAACATTGAACTTTTTTTAACAAAAAGAGTACATTTATTGAAAATGGCTAAAGCCAACCGTTGAGGAGGTATTTTTAATTTCATAAAGTCGAGTTGCTTAAATAAATAAAAAAATCGAGTATGTAAATGTGATTTGATAATACTCGTAAAAGCTGTATACGTGGGTTGGCAAAAAAGTTACTACATATTCAATGCATAACGTTGCCTGCAGATGGTGCCTCGTACTCGACACTCAAAAATCATCATTATATTATTTTTCCTATCATTAAAAAATCTCTGTTGAAAATTTGAAACATTTTTGACTAAAATGATAGAAATTATTAAGGAAAAACCATTTTATATTTTCCATTTTGACACCCTGTCTCTTTTTTAATATGCAACTTGGGATATAGGTATATTAGGTTAAATCGACTTTTTTCACCCAAGGAATATCTGGTATCATTTGTGCCCCTCCATTTAAATACACCCTGTATAACAAAGAATGTTGATTTAATCATCATTTCTGACTAAAATTATAGAAATTATTAAGGAAAAACCATTTTTTATTTTTCACTTTGACACCCTGTATCTTTTTTATTATGCGACTTGGGATATAGGTATGTTAGGTTAAATCGACTTATTTTCACCCAAGGAATCCCTGATATTATTTGAGCCCCTCCATTTAATTAATATTTTCCGGTAATAACAGTTAAAAAATTGAATTATACGTATTATCATATGTAGATCACCCCTGCGAAATACATTTTTCTAATAACTTGAAAACTCAGTGTGAATTTGTTCCATTATACTTATAATGGAACACATGGAACACATTAAACATCATTTTACTCTTACCTTTTTGCATCAATATTTGGAAATATAATTGAAACGCAAAAAATTAATGAGAAGGATGAGCTTGCTTCTTTTTACATAGTGCCTCAATGTTCGGCTGGTTCAAGTTTTGTTAAGTACAACCTTAAATCGTTGGTTCCAAGTAACTCGACCACACAAGTATTCAATTAGATTCCATTATTAAATTATAACCTTGCGTAATTACGAAACGGAAAGAAATAAAAATGGTTTAATTTTTCATTGACCTGCCCCGCGTACCCCCTGAAAATTTTCGCGTACCACAGTTTGAGAACCGCTGCTTTAGAAAATTGAGTATAAATTATTCTTATATGCACTTAGTAAATCAAATAAAATCACTCAGAATGACCCGAACTTAAACACTTTTAAATTGTCATACTTATCTCAAACTGAACAACTCTAAACTAGCAGAATGAAAAAGACAGCCTGTTGTTTGTGGATTTTGAATTTTGCGCCATTTTCATTCCGAAGTGTTGGCAGCATTATGCAGGGCCGCATGTTGTAGTAAACAGTTGCGGTTAGACAAAATGAAGCGATATACGAAGAATAAGCGAGTGAGGACTGAAAATTAATTTCAAGTACGGAGAGTGTGTAGCTGAGGTTGTCGCAGAATAAAATTTTCGGAGAAGGAACATTCCGAATGAAACAACTGTGAAAAGATTAGTTACCAAATTCGAACAAACAGGTTCGATTGCATACAATGAAAAAACAGGCCTGCCTTGTACAAGTCGTTCCAGCCGAAAATATTGCTACGATGAGTGATAGTGTGGCAGAAATTCCGGTAACCTCAGAGCGCCGTCGATCACTGCAATTAAACAATGCAAAAAGTAAGCTGAGTTCAATTCAAGATTCAGCTAACCCAGGAACAGAAATCAGACGAACATTTAATGCGTCGGACATTCGTTGATTGGATGTTGGAGAATCAACAAACGGACGGTGATTTTGCTAAGAAAATCATCTTTAGCGACGAGGCGCATTTCTATCTTAGTGGGTATTTGAACAAGCAAAACTGTCGAATTTGGGGCAGAGACAATCCGCTGGTCATTCAAAAACGACCACTGTATACCCAGAGTGTGACGTGGATTTTACGCTGGTGGGGTGATAGGTCCGTTCTGTTTGGAAAATGAGTTTGAAAACCTAGTGATTGTCAATGGAGAACAATATCAAGAGATGCTATTGAATTTTTTCTGACCGCATTTGGATGGCATGGATTTGGATGACATGTGGTTGCAGTAGAATGGTGCCACCCGCCATACGGCTATGAAACTATCCAGTTGTTACGGCAAAAATTTAGTGAACAACTCATCTCACGTAACAGTGAAGTGACTTGGCTACCAATGTCATGCGGCCTTATACCATACGACTTTTTCCTATGGAGATTCGCAAAGTTTAAAGTTTATTCTGCTCAAATGAATACCATTCCTAAATTAAAAGCAGGAATTCGGAAAGTTATCAACGAAATTTAGCGGCAGATATGCGAAAGCGTGATATACAAGAACATATGTCCGATAACCTCTTTCTTATTTAATGGCAATGTCTATCTTCTGTTAAGAACATGTAAAAGCTTTGCCAACTTTTTAATTAATAAAATCTTTTTTCCACATTTGAAATCCTGCGTTTTTTTGGGACCTATCTTAGTGGATTACAAACGTGTTTTTGATTTCAGGCGGTCGCTAGTGGACGAAGTGCTGGGCACGTTGCTGTCAGTACAAGGAACTCGAACAAATTCACAGTATCTGTGAACATAGAACCAGAATCAAAAGTAATATTTTTTCTGACGTATGAAGAACTCCTTGAACGTAAAAACGACCAGTATGAATTGATCGTCAATATTCATCCTGGTCAGATCGTGAAAGATTTGAATGTGAAGGTAAATGGAAATTATAAATGAATGTAATTTTTTTACAGTCATAATTTTAGGTGCAAATAAATGAGAACAGACCACTAAAATTCGTTAAAACCCCCTCGTTGAGATCTGGAAATGAAATCAGCAACAATGAAGATAAATTGAACCCATCATCTGATATACAGATAATAAATTCTACAACAGCTGTAGTCAAATTTAATCCAGATTCAGAAGACCAAAGACAATTTGCTCATCACCTTGGGAATAAGGAATCTGATGGCTTATCTGGACAATTTGTGGTTCAATATGATGTAGAGAGAGATCCTTATGGCGGGGAGGTAAGAACTGAAGAAGTGGATTTCCACAAAATATGTCAGTATTTTGCTTATTTATAAAAATTCCTTATTTAAATAGTTATGAATTGTAAAATTATCTAATTTAAAGCTAGCAGAATTAAAAGGAATTCGAAACAAATTTTAGACAAAAGTTTTTGGTGACTTAAATGAGTGGCTGAAATTGAAGTACTTATTTTTGAGCCATAGTTTTTATATAAACAACTAGTAATTCTAATATAACTGCAATGACTTTCTTAAAAAATACAAGACAAATATTATAGATCATTTCGATTTAAAAGCGTAATTCTTTTATTTTAGGTACTGCTTCAAGATGGATATTTTGTACACTTCTTTGCCCCTAGCGACTTGGAACCGCTACCAAAACATGTCCTACTCGTGCTAGATTCTAGTGGTAGTATGGGTGGTAGGGAAATTGTACAGTTGAAAGATGCTGTGAAAAGCATACTAAACGAATTGAGAGAGCAAGATATAATAAGCATTATATATTTTGGTAGTTCTGTTTCCGTATGGGACATAGCTCAAGAAATAAGAATACCGATAAGGGAAGTACATAATTTCAATTATGAGGAGCCATTTGATCAACTAAGTGAAAGTTTCTTTCAAAAATGCATATATTATGTTATTAGCTCTCACATGTTTTTACTCTTTTGTAAAGGTATTAAGCCAATTCATACAAATTAAAAAAAATCTTATCAAATGAAGTCAAACAATGTTCTTCGACATCAGACATCTAGGTATGCAACTGCTGATACTGTGGGAACCAACTACTCAATTGGTAATGTATTACACCACGCTAATACTCATTAAACAGTTAGCAAAAAATAATTATTCAAAATAAAATCTAAAATTGAAATGTTTAAATAACACAGCCACACACAAAAAAAAAAGTTCGGTATACTTTTTATGCGACATATATTTTTCGTAGTAATTTGGCCTCCTGAACACGAATCTGGGGTCAGAATTGGCCCATCACGTCACAATTTTTTCCTAACCTCAAAAAACTTGTGAAAAATAGTGAAAATTGATGAAAATTTACTGGGAAAATTTGGAAAAAAATTTATTTCCACATCAAATAGTACATTTGTATGTAAAAGACTCTGCTGAATTCAAATCCACTGTCAGAATTGAGCTAGAACGTGTGTTTTTTTCTAACCTCAAAAAACCGAGCAGGAATCGCTCTTTTCAAATTATGAGCGGATTTTGACCAGATTTTGTATAAAGGGGTTTTTTAGGTCGCTGATTACGAATATGAATTCACATTGTAAAAATTCAAAATGGCTGATCCAATATGGCGGGTGTACTTTTTTGAAATCCACCTATTTCAGTAAAATTTGGCATAATATAAGGATTGCTGGTTGATCTCACCTTCATTAATCACACATCTGGAGCCAGATTTTCATAAATCAAGGTAAAATTTGTAGGCAGAGTCATAATTTTAGGCCGAGTAAGCGGCATTTTTTCGGCAAAGTCACATTTTTAGATTGAAGGCATAAGCAGATGCAGTGATGTGCTGTGTGACAATAATGTGTCCTTTTCCTTGAACTTTAAAATTATTAAGAAATAAAAGCATCTAAATGCCATAGGAAAACTGCATAGTAGTTAAAAAAATCCGATTGGAAAACCATAAGCCCATGCACGACTAAATAAACGAAAGAATAAAGTAGAAACTTTTTTCTCTTGTCCCATGGAAACAAGCACATCACACTACACATCATTACATGTGTAGAGTCCTTAAGTCATTTTTTTAAGCGAGGTCAATTTTGCAAAATTCAAGATGGCGGATCCAAGATGGCCGACCAAATTTTCAAAAAATAGCAGATTTGCATCAAATTTGGTAGGAGGGGGTTTTAGGGGTTGCTGATCACGAATTCGAGGTCAATTTTGCAAAATTCAAGATGGCGGATTCAAGATGGCCGACCAAATTTTCAAAAATTCATGAAAAAGTGCTAGGAAAAATACAATTTTTTTTTTCTATATTCAAATGTTCATTTATATAGTTATAGTCCAGACGGTATCTGTTTCAAAGAGTCCATATTTGGGTGAATCGTATATCCGCGGAGATTTTTGGCTTTTTGGCTTTCAAATATCACTGGGATTGAAAATTTTTCTATGCGCATAAAAAAAATGTGGGCTTAACTTTTGGCGGCACAATATGTTAAAAAAATTCGAAAAGTGTCATGTTTTTCTTCCTATTTAATTATGTATCTTTTCAAGAGTTGATTTTAGGCGAAAATGGAAGAGGAAAAAAATGTTTGTAATTAAATTTTACAAAATATGACTAGTTACAAATTGAATGAATCATGATTATTATTGTAATCAACTTTATTTTTTTATTATATCGAAGGTAAGTACATAAACTTATATACTGTTTATCAAGGATCAAAAACAAATGTATTTAAATATTCTAAAATTGTTTAAACAATTATTTACAAAATATATCGAAAATTAGTAATGAATGAATGAATGAATTAATTAATTAATGAATTAATTAATTAATTAATTAATTAATTAATTAATTAATTAATTAATTATTAATTTAATCATCATTTCTTTTGTGATTAAAGTATAATTCAAATATTATTGACTGTTTAAAATATAAGCAAATGAGAAATTAACTCATTATATTACAAAATTATAGTACAAAAATTCGACCGATGTTTAAACAAGCGCCAAAACTCTCCTAATTGACGGATTCCAATTTTTCAAAAAGCGTTTGAAATCTTGAGAGCCCTTCTATATGTGATTAAATTTTCAAGTATCTAAGGCCTTGGTTTTTGCTGTGCAAAATTTTGAAAATTTGCAAATTTTTTTTCAAAATCTGGATTGCAAAATTATTATGCAAAATCTATCGAACCGATTTTGATGAAATTTGGTGTGATGATTCTACATAACATGAACTTTTCTTCAGCCAAGTATGAAGGTCCTATACCCAACTTAAAGACCCCAAAGAAATTCCTTAAAAAATAATGTTTTTTGACACCAATTTTGGCGATTTTTTCGATTTTTACAATAATAATCATGACTCATTCGATTTGTAACTAGTCATATTTTATAAAATAAAAATCTCATACATTGGGTTTAGATGGTATTTCTGGCAAAATGCTTCAGTTGTCGGTTAAATGGATATCCACCCCATTTACGCACATAATAAATGTTTCATTAGAGATTGGTCAGTTACCGGAACAATGGAAATTTGTTGTATTAGACCATTACCAAAAAAGAAAAATCCAAAACAGTTGAAAGATCCGCGTCCAATCAGTATGCTCTCTGTTCCTCCAAACATTGCTGAATCTGCTATTTTTTATCAATTGTTTGAATATTGTTTTGAAAATTCAATCATTCCTATAAATCAATCAGGTTTTTAGAAGAGGATTAGTTCTTCAACTTTATTGGCTAATGTAATAATTTTTACAGCTATCGACAATTATTTGATTTCGTCTCTAACTTTACTGGATATGACTAAGTCATTTGACTCAATGGACATCAATTGCCTTATTGCTAAACTTCATTATTATGGTATTTCTAGCAATATATTGTGCTGGTTTTGTAATTACACTGTAGAGAGCAACTATACTAGATTAAATACAGATTCCTCGATGCTAACATCACCTTATATATCAGTTGGTTATGATGTTCCTCAGGGATCTATATTAAGACCACTTTTGTTTAACATGTTTACAGCAGATTTGTCGAGAATTCCTTTGAATTGTAAACTAAATATGTACGCTGACGATCAACAACTCCTTTATAGTTTTCAACCTTCTAATTTAAATATTGTCACAGCAGTTATTAATAATGACTTACAATTAATTCATGACTGGACCACAAAAAAATACTTTATTAGTTAATCCTAATAAAAGTCAAAACATTCTATTTGGAACATCAACTAATTGCGAGGTCTGGATAACTTTCCTGTTTTAATTAACAATGAAAATATTCCTGCAGCCAATGTTGTTAAAAATCTTGGTCTGACTTTTGATTCATCGTTGACTTTTTCGAATCATGTACCTAACCGCTATCTGTAAGAAAGCTTTCTTATCATTAATACAGTTACAATGCTTTAAAAAGTATCTAAATCCTCAGACCAAAATTTTACTCACCGTATCTTTAGTCTTATCTCATTTGAATTATGCTGATGTTTTTATGGCCCCTGCCTTGTTCAAGAAAATAAACACCGTTTGCAAAAAATACAGAATTGTTGCGTTCGTTTTATTGCGAATGTCCCCCCAGTTTAGTCACATACCTCCATATTTACGTTCCTTCAATTTGTTGAGCATCTCTGACAGGAGACTTATTCATTTTGCCAGTTTTATACTCAACATTTTAAAGAATAACAAACCTACATATTTATGTGATAAAATAAAATGGAGATCTGAAACACATACTAAAAATTTGAGATCACTGAGTAGCAAAGCGTCATAAAACTGAAACATTTAAAAATCTGTCGGCCAACTTTTCCCGACAAAGGAATACGCCACTGGCGTAGAAAAAAAAATATTTCTGGAAAAAATATCAAACTAAATAAAATAACATTAGTAAATAGGTCGAGTAAGTAATTAACTAATGGGTCTTAGAACAATTGTTCAAAACGAAGTCCTTCGCATCGATACAGTTTTGACATCTTCTATTTAGGCTATTTGTAGAGGAACTTATCATGACTTTTCTGATGATCTGATTTTCCCTGAGGAGATTACAAGTTTCCTCTACTCTTTATAAGCCCAAGAAGGGCTGCAGCTTCAGGAATAAATAAACAAACCTAGTTATAATAGGTACTAAAACAAGGTCATCTTAAAGCTTACTAACTGATAATGCAGACAAAAGAATCAATTTGATACATTTTCAAAAATGACTGTCAAAAGCTGACTTACATGACTATATGGATTGTAATTGTTTTTCTATCTAAAACCTATTTTATTTGCCCTTTTTACTAAGTTTCTTTCAAAAATACATGTGTATTATTAAATCTCACATGTTTGCACACTTTTGTGAAGACATTGTTAGTACTAACTGTTTAATGAGTATTAGCTTGGTGATATACAATACCAGATGGGTATGTCTCTGTGGTTGACTTCATTTGAAAAGATTTTTTTTTTAATTTGTATTTTGACTTGCTGATAACATATTGTCAGACATTTTTCACTAGTTTTGCACACTTTATTATAGAAACAAGATTTACCAGCTCCATCAACAGCTGACAATCGAACTTTAATTAAAGCAAAAAGACTCATCGATAGCCTTAGGGCTGATGGTGGCACCAATATGATTGGTGGCCTGGAAGCGGCTTTATATTTGGTAAAAATAGGACAGGATCATCCCAATGACAAAAAATGTCAACCGATCATAATATTTTTAACAGACGGCCTACCAAATATTGGCATATATTCCACAGAATCAATTACAGACATTGTAAGTGAAAATGATATAAGAAATTTTTATTTCTTTGCAATATTTTAGGTAACACGTTTGAATGCTGCCAATAATAAGATTCCCATATTTTCTTTGTCTTTCGGAGAAATGGCTGATAAACAATTTTTAAAGAAATTGTCTTTAAAGAACCAGGGATTCTCCAGACACATATATAAAGCTGCTGACGCTTCTTTACAAATACAAGAGTTTTATAAACAAGTGTCCTCTCCACTATTGTCCAACGTTACATTTAAATATAACGCCGAAGTCAAGGATGTCACCAAAAGGACATTCCCCATATACTTTAAAGGATCTGAACTTGTTGTAACTGGAAGATATGACAGTAAGAAAATTTTAACTGTACAGATATCGCCCCACTTTCTTTTAAGTTGTTAAAATGAAGTTATAATTTTAGAACGAATATGGTTTTATGGTAAAGAAGAGAACACGCCATAAGAGTAAAAATTTAGTTAAAGACTTGGAATCCAAGTATTCTACCAACCTATCTAAAGAACATATTTACCTTATGGCGCGTTTTAAAGACCATACCTCTCTTGCCATTAGTTGTAGACATACCAATTATAAACGATTATAAAGCAAACTTGTCCGCGGTTAGTATTTGGATGGGAGTGATCATCCTGGGAAAGCTCGCGATGCTCGTCCACCTTCTGTACCACCAGTCTGTACGACTGTGTACTCTCAGAACTTATACAAATTTAGATGAGGTTTGTATAGAAAGACCTATCATACCTAGGAAATGATGTAAAAACATCATCCCTTGACTAAGCAATGTTAGGAAAGTAAAAGATCCTAACCCTACGACAAAGTGAGGATTGAATACAATTTCTAGGTTGAGAATAGCTCATTTTTTGGCATTGGTGTTTAGTCATAGTAGCAGAAAGAGGCCGACGTAAAGTAAACAAAAACGAAAAAATGATAATAGAGAATGAACACAACAGAAATATACTGAAGTATTTAAAATCATTGTTTTATTATTTAATGTCCCTTTGCTATTATTTACAGAAAAGTCTAAATCTCTCCATCCTAACCGTATATCAACTGAAACATCGACATAATAAGGCAAATAACAAACTACAATGTTTTAGATTTGGATTCGAATATTAACATTGTCGAACCAATAAGTTGTTTTGACATTGGACCAAAAGTTTTACAACCTACAGTAGGGAAGCCAGTGACGTCCTTGGAAAGACTCTGGGCCTACCTAACCGTGAGGCAGTTGTTGGATGAGAGGGAATTAGCTGACAATAAAAAGGAATTGACGAAGAAGGCCTTAGATCTTGCTCTTAAATATTCCTTCGTGACCGACATTACATCTCTTGTTGTCGTCAAACCAAATGAAATCACCAGAATTAGTACGGAGGATGCCTATAATGGTAATATAAGTTATTCAATATTGAATATTGTAAAAGATCATAAAATGTTTATTTTATTTGTGCAAAGGAAACTAGCTATATTACCTAATAATTTAATTTATATCTTTCACACTTAGGTAGCTACAATGTAATCCGTACATTTTTAATGATAGTTAATTACTGAATTTTTATTCTGAAAAATAAATTCCTATAGAAAATAATAGGTGCAAAAATAATGCATATATCGTGATTCGTGATTCGTATGAAGTTTTACGTGTTAATCGTAATGCTTTCGATCACATTTTGCCATTTTCCTTGAAAACATCGCGTTTTACGAAAAAAATATCAAGAGATAAAAAAGTTCTAAATTCTATGGCTTTCTAGCGGAATAATAATTTTTAAGGAATTTAAATATGCGACCAAATATTTTCGGTTCCAAAGACAAGGGGGCCCACGAAAAATCGTGTTAAGGGGGTTCCCCGCCAAAACACGTAGCCCTATCAGATTCCAGATTATTTTGCTCTTTCTCTGTCTATCTCTTAAGCCGAAAATGTTATTTTTATCTTAAGAGATGAACGTGTTAATAAGTGTCTTTATTAAAACAATAAAGTAACTTAATTTCAACGGAACATGTTTCGTATACTTACAGGGTGTGCCATTTAACAACACTCCCGCTACCAATATCTCCGAAATGAAGTAATTTATTTTAGTTCCGGAAACTGGGGTTGTTAAGTCCCTCAAATAGCTTCAAATTGCTGTTAGATTGTTAGTATTAGTATATTTTTATATATGTAGATTACGTGGCGATACTAAAAAATTTTTTGATTCCTAGAACGTGAAAATGTGAGCCCTGTGAAAGATCGTTACATTTTGAGTAGTTTTTGTAATATAAAGTTTTTCCCAATATTTGCTTGATACTAAAAAATTTTTTGATTCCTAGAACGTGAAAATGTGAGCCCTGTGAAAGATCGTTACATTTTGAGTAGTTTTTGTAATATAAAGTTTTTCCCAATATTTGCTTGTTTTCGAGACATTTCGACTTCAATATGCAATGTATGATGTAACAGGAAAATCTATTATTTTATTTAAATCACACCGAGACAAAATATTCTTATAAAATATTGTTATAATGGCTTTTTTTATTCACACCACATACTGACTAACAAACAATAAATAATAAAAAAACTAATGATCAAGTACAGAAAAAAAAATTGTACAATGGTAAATCTTTTAACTAGTATAGTTAAACTGAAAGACGCAAGCTGATAAAACTGTATTGGAAAACTAATATGTGTCATCTGTCATACATATTTAAACATATTTTAAACAAATGACATGAGCCACCTATGACTGAATTTTTTAATAATATTTGATAAAATACGGTTCGTCTCTGTCCCTTATAAGGTTTACCATTGTACAATGTTTTTTCTTTAGTTTGTTTTTTTATAATTTATTGTTTTTTAGTTAGTATGTGGTGTGAATTAGCTATTAGCTAAGCTATTATAACAATATTTTAAAAGAATATTTTGTGTCAGTGTGATTTAAATAAAATAATAGTTTCCTGTTACATAATACTTATTGAAGTCGACATGTCTGAAAACAAATAAATATTGGGATTTTAAGTTCTTATCTAGTAGCAATGGATAAATCAATAAAAGTGACAGTGGCAGAATTACGTGATGAAGTTCATCAAGTAATTCAAAACGTATAGTTGCAAATTGTTATTAAAAATGCCATACTCTCAAAAAGAAAAACAAATAATTTTAAGTTCGTTTATTCGAAACAACTATAATGCCACAGCAACGCAACGAGACTTAACCCGAGAAAACCCAATAATGCACGCTGCTTGCAAAAAACAATTAAAATTTGAAGTCTGAACAGAAAAAAAAGTGGTGCAAGATAACAAAGATGTGTAACTTAATATGTATATTACTTTCTGTGCAAAAAATCCAAATGGTAGAATTTTGCAGCCTCATAATGGAAGGAATTAATGATTATCCCAACTTTTTAGAAACATCCTGTGGACGGACGAATCTATCTTTACTACTAATGGTATGATAAATAGAAAGTAGAAAAAATACCAGGTATTGGACTACAGATAACCCATTCTGTTACAGAGAATTTAAATTTCAAGGGCGCCGGTCCGTTAACGTTTGGTGCGGATGAATGAATATCAAAATTATTGGACCCTATTTTTTTTTTATTAAAATTTGTATTTCTGTAATCAAATAATTTTCTTTTTTTAATGTTATTTTTTGCATTGTACATAAAATATGTCTGGAATTTTCTGAAGAATCCAAAATTTTAATAATATACAGGGTGTTGCGTTTAAAATAAAAAAGTTGATATTGACCAGTGTTACATGACACACCCGGTATGCGCAACTAAAAATACCAATCCGAGCGTTTTATCGAACACGCCCCCATTTATTTATTATTGAATTTATTCCATTTGGCTGATACACACTGTAGAACATCTAAAGCAACTAATTAGGAACTAAATAAATGAAACTAAATGAAAACCGTTCAGATTTTGTAAGAGGATCTTTGGAAAAACTTCTAAGAATATTACTAAAACCAATTGAGCAAGATGTGGAGCAACTCAATATTTAAGAAAATTAATTTTTGTATGATGTAGTTAGTTAAGTAGTTAGTTTTTTTTATTAATTTTTATTTGCTAACATTTCAAAGACCGTTGACTTTGAGTATATAACTTGTTATACAGGGATGGCCAGAAGTACGGAATAAAATTCATATCTTTTGAATGAGTTAATTTTTTTTAAAACGCCGAAACACGTTAACTGATTTTTTTCCCATCTTTCGGTTATATAATAATTAATTTTTCTTCAACCCCCTAACCCTCAGCTAGCCCTACTTTTTTTTCAAATGGAAACATAAGGCATGATGGGATCGAAAAGCTTATAGAAAACTGAATGCAACCATACCAATTAAACAAGTTTTATTTTTTCAATAACAAGTTTTTTTTCATTTAGAAATTGAAACAACTAGATAATTTACAATCTCAATATCGCAAATGTCCTCCATTCACTATTTGGCATTCTCCAAGACGACAGTAAAAGCTGTCCACAGCATTCTGAATGACTTCAGCTGGTAAATTATGCATCTCCGCCCTAATCTTGTTCTTAAAATTCTCAATATTATCCGGTCTGTCCTGGTAGACTCTTTCTTTCAAATATCCCCAAAGAAAATAATCCAGGGGTGTTAAGTCGGGGGATCTTGGCGGCCATTCAACTGTACCCCGTCTACCAATCCAGCGATTTGGAAACATTTCATCTAAGTATCTTCGAACATCAATACCAAAATGTGGGGGAGCGCCATCTTGTTGGAACCAAATTCTTTCATTCGGTATATCTGGATCAATTTCATGAGGGAAAATCACAGCTAGAGCAGGTATCAGGTCAAATGTTAGGAAATCCAGGTAGCGTGCGGCAGTAAGATTTTCTTCAAAAAAGAATGGGCCCAAGATTCTGTTGTTGATGATACCTGCCCATACATTAACTTTTTGTGGATGCTGCGTATGCGATTCGCATGTCCAGTGTGGATTTTCCTGGGACCAAAAGCGATAGTTGTGCCTGTTAACCACTCCATTTAAATAAAACGTAGCTTCATCCGAAAAAAGTACGTCTCGTTGAAAACCATTATTGTCGTCACACCGTCTCATCATTTCCTCACAAAATTGTAATCGCCTATCATAATCGTCTTCCAAAAGCTCTTGGACAAGACATACCTTATAGGGGTGGTATTTCTCTTGTTTCAGAAACATTCGAATTGCAGTTCGAGAAGCATCGTGATTGCGGGCCAATGAAACAGTTGAAGTATGAGGATTTTCAACAAGTTCTAATGCAATGTCTAATTTCTTTTCTTCATTCAAAGCACGTGCCCGTCCAGTTTTGGGCAAAGTCTGTACTGTACCGTGTTCCTCAAATTTGTGAAATATTTTACTAACTGTCCCTTGCGAGATTTGGTTTTCGGGATATTTCGCATTAAATAAATCGCGCACTTCAGCCTGACTTCTTATTTTGTCTCCACATCCAAGCAATATCAAGATTTCGATGCGTTGCCTTTCCGACAATACCATTGCAATTCAGTAAATAACTTGATTTTGACACAATAGTAACGTTTCGAACTCCAATTTACAACTAAAGCGAAAAATTAACCAGAAAGCCTGGCAAGTAAGTGGTGCCAAAAAAACGCAACATAAAAAATATATCTTTTTTGCGTTAGCAGTGATAGGTACAGTTTCAAATTCTTTATTTTATTCTGTGCAAATTCATGGAGGATAACACTGAAGATAATTAAATTTTATTTCACTTGTTAAGTAGGTGTTTTATACAACCCTAAAAACCTTGCTATTGAAAAAATAAAACTTGTTTATTTGGTACGGTTGGATTCGGTTTTCTATAAGCTTTTCAACGAGCCCCCTCATGCCTTATGTTTCCAATTGAAAAAAAAAAGTGGGGGTAGCTGGGGGTTTGGGGGGTTGAAGAAAAATTAATTATTATATAACCGAAAGATGGAAAAAAATCAAAATCAGTTAACGTGTTTCGGCGTTTTAAAAAAAATTAACTCATTCAAAAATTATGAATTTTATTCCGTACTTCTGGCCATCCCTGTATACAAATTTCTTAGAATTAAACGAAGAATCAATAAATTAATTCAGATATAAAGTGTCCTAATTAAAAAAAGTATACTTTGATCTACCCCTGTAAGTTTGATCGATTTTCAAATACCTGTGCAAAAAGTACAGGAAAAATCTACAAACTTGCATATTTTACACAATTTTATTACCACAAACAAGTTAAGGTGGGTGGACATAAAAACCACCCGCTACATGTGTTGCAAAATAGGTAATAATTAATTGTGTGTATTATAGTTCATTTTGGACTGAATGGGCAATAAAATTAGATATGTGTAGAAAATAGGATTTCCAACTATATATGAAGTATTCTTTTCGTTCGTGAACTTGGCAATTCACGAAAAAAAAAGCCATTTCCTTTTTTTATTAAAAAATGTACTATTTTATCTAAATTTTTCAATTTAATTAAAATTGGTAATAGGTAGGTGTACATTAAATATTTATTCATATTATTGTTTTTACAGAAGGTAGACTGTCACGGGCAGATTTCGATTCAGGTAAGTTATTAATATCACTTTGATTAAATACAAATATGACAGATTTCTCTTATTCCCTTATTTTACATATAATGTGTTTCATTAAGAATGCAACACAGCTACAAAGCAATTGAGCAAATATGTCTCAATGAAGTGTTGTTTATCTCCAATTTATAAAAAAGTGAAGTTAAAATCGAAGTATGTCAAATTAAATATAATCTGATCTTCTTTAGTGCATATTCATAATTTGGATAAAATAACTTATCTAGTTTTAAATAAAGTTAATAAACTATTTTAAGGTTAAAAAAGAGGAAATTTCGAAATAGGAGCGATTCTCCGTCTTATTACATATTAAATAGAAACAGTAACTAGAAGTTGTTTGCTACAGTTATATAATTTTTTATTTATTTTAATGCTTAAAAAGTAATCCTTAAATGTTTACCTTAAATACAATGCCCTAATTCAATAATTGTTTTAAAATCGAAACAACTGGTATGCGTGTACTAATATGTCAAAAAAAAATGTGTGGTTGAACACAATGTCATTTTCAACAATTTTAATTATGCAACTTAAACATAAACTGTCTTATGTCCTATCCTATACAACAAATTGAGTAAAGCAACTTTTGGATAACTAAAACAATAAAAATAATAAAATTGAATTTATAAAATGTTAATTTTTGACTAGATAATAAAATATTTCTGTTAAATTTTTACATACAGTGACATAAAAAATTATAATTAGTTTATACAGTATGTAAAGGCGTAGCAAGAATGTGCTATGTTCGGAAGAGAAAAAAACAGAAGATGGAAGCTGTCTTTCAGCCATTGTTAAAATTATGGAGCATTTCTAGATGGTTAGTGTTCGACTAGAATTTTAAGATTATGGAGATCCACAATGTATCTACACTTATAGATTTTTTTAGTGTTAAAGGATAGTGTATCCACTATATTTATAATCCACAAGCTTCTCTACTTTTGTAAAATATTTATACAAAAAAAGATGTCTACATCCAATCACTAATTAAGAAGTTGCATAACTAATATACACAGCCTTCATAAATGTTTACAAGACACGTGACCCCCTAGCAAAGGCAATCCATGACTGGTATTGATAACTAAAAATCCCTAAATCTTGGCGTCGCCAATATTAATGATTTACAATAAACAATGACAAACCGTTACGTCTACGCTCGAGATAATGCGACCGATGATTAGTTGAGTAGAGTCTCGCGAAAAATTACATCAATCACAGTCGGTGAAACAGAATGTTGTGTTTTAATGTAATCTTAATCTTATTGTTTCATATATTTTTAATTTTACCGAATTTTAATTGCCAACCCAACATGAAGGAAATAAAATTACTGTTCCAAACAAAACTGATGACGTGGCTTGTAATCATTAAAGAAGGCTCTGTAGTTAATACTAATAATAAATTATTTTAATATTACCTATTTGACTATTTACGAATATTAAAAATTAAAAATTTAGTAGCAGCACCGAGCGTTCCACTAGCACAAGGGATGTACTACTTAAGATCTCGTAAGTAATGATAATTTATATAAAATTTGTTTCCAAGAAACAGACTGAAACTATTTTAAAATAAGAAGTTATTTTACTGTGTAAATACATACATTATTTAATATACAGGGTGTAAATAAAAGAGTGTAAAATATTTCAGGAGGTAATAGTATGAACCAAAATAAGCAGAAAAGTCTTAATAAACATGGGTCCGCAAAAACTCATACAGTGTGTTCTGCAGAAAGTTGAGGTAAGCAGCGCCTGTTAATCGGTTTGGTAAAACAACAGGACCTAGAAACCTGTCACCTACAATACCCATCCAAATGTTTAATGAAAAACGTGCTTGATGTCCAGATTCTATTAGAGCATGAGGATTTTCGTCTGCCCAAATATGCGTATTGTGAAAATTAAACACTCCATTTCTTGTGAACCCGGCCTCATCAGTAAAAAGAATGTTTGCAAGAAAACGAGGGTATTCAGCATCATGACGTAGAAACCAGCGGCAAAAAAACAAACGTGCTTGATGATCATTTATTGGATTTAAGGCCTGTACTCGTTGCACATGGTATGGATAAAGCAGTTGCTCGTGAAGGATTCTCCAAACAAGAGGACCACTAATTCCTACCCCGGCTGATATTCTCCGCACACTCGTACCTGGATTCTGCTCTACCAGTGCTAGAATTTCTTCTTCTGCTCTAGGAGTGGATACCGACCTTGGTCTTCCGGATAAATGGCACTGTTTGCTCAAGGAACCGGTATCACGCAATCTTTGGTGAATTCTTCCAAACATGCGTTGTGAAGGAATCTGGCGATTTGGATAAGCGTCAACATAAAGACGTCGCGCTTCGGTGGCCCATTAGCACGACCATACATGAAATGCATGTCTGTTAATTCTGCGTTAGAGTAAGAAGCCATAGCGAAAGAAAACTTGTGCACTGAGAACAACTGTCAAATACGTACTGTTTATTTCACTAAACACCAACCAACTATTATAAGAAAATACACAACGTTTTTGCAAAATAAAAAAAAGGACTAAAAAACATAAAACATTCCATATCTCCGCAACCGTTACTTTGCGGACCCATGTTTATTGAGACTTTTCTGCTTATTTTGGTTCATACTATTACCTCCTTAAATACTTTACACTCTTTTTTAACACCCTGTATATTTGCAAGAATTATCAAATTAAATTATAGGAAAATAAATAATGTTGTTAGAATTTTAGAAGTTTTCATGAATTGTCTTGATTATACATGTTAATTCTGAAATATATAACCAAACTGAAACAGGAGATAGAAAATGCCCGTTTTAGCAAAAAATTTCCTATGAACAAAGATTCGAAAATGTCAGCTACACATGTAATGTTGAACCCTAATAATTCAGTATGTAGTTAAAAGACTTATTCCACCTGCACAGTTTGATCTCTGCAGAAATGTTATGATTTATTCTTACATATGTGGCAAGCATTAATAAAAACGGTAAAGGGTGGTAAAGGAGTAATTACCATCACACTTTTGATTTCCACAAGATTTGCTGTAAATGAAAATGTAGTTTTATTGCCAATTTTCTTACGTGAAAAATCAATATTTTTCAGAAAATACCTCAAGTAACTTTTTTTTAGGTAACAAAATTGTCTATTGTCCACTGCATGCCATACTGGAAACAAATCTTTATCCATGTCAAGTTTAAGCTCATTCTAGAGTTAATTAAGATGTGTTTTCTTCTTTACTAAGCTTTTGCTTAAAATTACACATACAAATTCCTGCTTCAAATTGGTTAGTATATTAGACTCACTTTGTATACAAAGTGATAGAGGGTGTTAAGTTTTCATTGGAACAAATTGCAAAAAAATATCTCTTTATATTATTTCTACCGTTACTTAAAGAACAGAATAAATAAATAACTAAAATTAATTTCAGCCGTGGGATCTTATCAGTCAGCTCCTCTAGGTCTTCCAGGATTAAAAGGTGCTTCAGGTAACTGATTTCATTAAGCTACATATATTTTATATCCTCACCATTGGTTCACTAATTTGTATACTTCCGATTTAACTCATTCATTACTTTTTACCATTAGAACAACTTTCAAAAATCCTAAAATATTTGAATAAATATTATGGTAAATACACAAGTGGTGTAAAATTCCCGTTAAATTGTATTAAAAACAGTTAAATTATTTTTTCACTTTAAATTTAAAATAACAATGTTGATCAGATGTTAACTTATAGGGTGATTTCACTTTAAATACAGAAACTGCGAGATTCATTACCGAAAAATAAGTAGAGTCTGCTCTATAAACTTTTTTCCTGCGGGACTCGGTATTCAAGATACAGGGTGTTCAAGTTTACGAAAAAATATATATATTGAGATAAATCACAAATTTGAAGTTTAAATATTATGAAGTCAAAATTAACAAATGTCAAATAATGACAGAGTTAAGGCAAATGGCAGATACAAAATCAATATTAGGTTAAAAAAATGGTAATGTAAATTAAAATAAAATATATTAAACAATAATTCAGGGAAATTAATATATGTCAGTAGAATGTTAGAATAATAAAATAATAGATAATAAAATTTAAAGTGAAGTGAAGGAAAAAAAGAGAAAGTTATAAGAATATAAAGGAAGGTGTAAGGACCTTAAGGAATAGTGAGGATCAAGGGAAAAACAAAAGAAAGAAAAAAAGAAATTAATGACAATAAAAAAGAGAGCGAGGAAAGTCAAATTGGAGGAATTTAAAAGTTGGAGGTAAGTGGAGCAGAATAGTAAAATAAAAAGGAAATTTATATTACCTACATACAAGTTAATGCATAAAGGGAACCTCCAAAGGAGAAGATAATGTGAAATTAGTGAATGAAAATAAGCTTCAGGTATCCAGTTTGTTAGAATTGTGAGATAAAGAACTACTCAAGAAGAAAAAAAAAGGTACTTCCGTAATTAATTTGTGTTATGAAAGTCAATATCACAGTATCACAAATCAGTTACAAATTTGACAGATCTAAACATTTAAGTTATTATAGAATCAAGATAATAGATGCAATATTAAAGACCATACCTTATTAGTGCCGTATTCAAATTCATAGACAGTAAAAAGACATAGTGAAGTTTCACTTGAAGGCAAAATTAATTTGACAGGAACTGTCAAAAAGTTACATTTACAATTAGTTAACTAAGTTGTTGAACATTTAGATTAATAATTATTACATTCAAGCATATGCAATAGTATATAATCAACTTGATACTAGAAACATAATATTTTTGAAAATTTATTACATGTATAAAACAAAATTACTTTATAAAGTTGATTATATATAAAAATAATTTAGAATTTAGTATTTTTAGTAAACATTGTTACCTGAGAATTATTGTTTACAATTGCTTGTAGGAATACAAGAGATATTGAATTTGTTTGAACCATCCTTGAATTCATAATTTATAATATAGACATAATTTGTGATTTGAGTTTTAATTTTGTTGTTTTAATAATTGTGATATATTAGTGCTAGAACTGACCCCTGAGATGAGTGTTTGAATATTAAAAAAAACAAAGTATAGTTATTTTATAATAATTTTAATTTAATTATTATTATAAAAAAATATTAAATTAATATTAAATATAAATTAAACATTTGCAATTATTATAACATTTTCTGTCATATCTTCGCTGACGGAATTGAATGACATTTACTACGGCATAATTACTTAATTAGACCTTTTATTGAATGTAATATTAATCTCGTGGCTTTAGCCAGTGGCGGGCTACTGGAGGTGCCGCCCCGTTTTCCCAAGAAAAAAATACGCCACCGGCGGTACCTACTGTTACGTTAAATGAATGAAAAATATTTCTTGGTGTTTTTTAATGGTAGCAGCCGTTTAGGAGATATTAGAGCTTGGTTTTACGATTTATTGAACTTTGCTAATAAATTAATCTGTTTATTTGATGAAAACCACCTGGCTTTAACCAGCGACAAGATACAAAAGTATCCGCCAACTTTTCCCAAGGAACGAATACGCACTGACGGTTTTTGTAGAAATAATTTTATTTCTGGAGTAAATTTGCACGTTATGGACGGCAAATAAGTAAATTATCTCTTAAACGGTAGCTATAAATAACACCAAGAAACACTTTTCATTCACTTAACGTATAACAATACCTGATTTTGACATTATTTATACAAAAAATCGCGATTAGCGTATTTTTTTCTTGGGAAAACGGAGCGGCACCTTCTGTAACACGTCACTGGTTAACGTCATGAGGTTAATATTACATTCAATAAAATTTCTAATTAAGTGAATACGCTGTAGTAAATTTCATTCAAATCGTTTAGCACAATATGAAGATATGACAGAAAATATTATATTTTTTGGAAACTTGATCACCTTGTATCTCGAATACCACGTCAGGAAAAAGTTTATAGAGCACACTCCACTTACTTTTTGATAACTAATCTATTCCTACAGTTTCTGTATTTAAAGTGAAATAACCCTGTATACAGGCTGTTACAAATTCGCTTCTCACTACAAGGATGTCGGAAACGGTAAGAGATACGAAGTAGCTTAAATGGGGGCAAAGTTGTATAATCAGGGGACCGACATTATGCCTCTAAAAAATCAAGGCTAGCATGATTAGATTTCGAAATATTAAAAAAAAACAAAATTTTGGAAATCCGTTTCGTCTCTCCAGGACCATCATCAACTTCATTTTTTAAATACGACCTTGGAAATTTTATTAAATTTTTTGCAAGCCTTCCTGATCCCCAATACTGTACTGCGTCAGCCCGAATCAGATTCACACATTTTGCCTTGAAAAATTCATCTTCAATGTATTTGTTTCAATATCCCAAATTTTTTATTTGGATTTTCTATGTTTATTAAATTATCGTACACTCTTCTGTATCATTAGACCCTGAGAAGTCTACCTAGTTATTTAAACTATTATCATCGTTACAATAAAACATTCTTATAGTTTAAATCCCGTGCTCATAGCCTTCTCGAGGGCTCAAAATTCAAACAAATTTCGATCTAATTTTTTTCAGTATATTCATACAAATACATCTGACATGCTCTTTCACAGTTGCGGTTACAGGTATAATAAATTCCGATCATATTAAGCTTATCTTTATTTTCAACATTTGCCAAAACGGAAACATTTACTGCAATTTTTTAAAGTATTCGTTAGGAGTTTTGGTTATTCATATGCGTTCCTAAGAATTAATTCGTCATAATGAAATTAAAATTGTAAAAATGTTTTAATTTTGACGCAACAACTTATCGAGTTATGTATGACCAGGTGATGAAGATTAAAACTCTAATATTGTTTTATTGTAAAGTGTGATGGTAATAATTTAAGTAACAAGGTGAATTTCACAGTGTCTAACAATACTTAAAGTGTACGATAATTCAATAAACTGAAATCTAAAAAAATTAGATAAATTTGGAACGAATACATTGAAGATGGATTTTTTAAGACAAAACGTCTCGATCTGGTTCCGGCTGAGGCAGTACAGTATTGGGGGTCATGAAGGCTTGCAAAAAAATATAATAAAATTTTCAGGGTCGTATCTAAAAAAATTAAGTTGATGGTCCTGGAGAGACGAAACGTTACATATAAAAATTGATTATGCCATTCGGTAGAGGGCAAAAAGTTGCCACGAGAAAGTGTTCTTCTTTTTTCAATATCACCTCAAATAAGGCTGAAATGAAACAAATACGGATTTCCAAAATTTCGGTTTTTTTCAAATATTTCGAAAACTAATCATGTTATCCTTGATTTTTTAGAGAAATAATATGAGTCCCTTGATTATGCAACTTTGCCCCAATTTAAGCTACTTCGTATCTCTTACTGTTTCCGAGATCCCTGTAGTGAGAAGCGATTTTATAACAGCCTGTTTAAAAAAAAATATACAAAAGTCTATTTAACAAACTATAACTTTGATAGGGTACACGTTTTGAAACTACTAGACAATAAATATTTTTTCTACAAAACTGTTAAAAGAGGGCTTTTTAATTGTCATTTTTGATGTTAAAAATGTAATTTTTTGACACGCGTGTTAAAAGTAAATCAAAGTTTATTTAAATTTTGTTTTGAAAATTAATAAAACAACACTGCGATCTGTGTGGTATTTTTTGATTTCTTATTTTTATTGAGTTTAAAGTTCTTCCGATTGTTTTGTAGAAAAAATAGTGTATGATATACGTGTTAAAAGTGATTTTATTTTGTTCGTGAAGTTAAAAAACTCGCTACGCTCGTTTTTTAATCATCTTCACTCACAAAATAAAATCTTACGTTTAACACGTATATTATAAATAGCTATTCAATTTTTAAAAAAATTATATCAATTTATTTTACAAAATAAATAAATAAAATCGTATTTACCATTTTTATTTTATTTTTTGTTAAATAAACAATATTTGTTTGAATAGCAAAACCTGATATCTTAAAATATTATTGAAAAAGAATACATTTCCTGTAATAAAATATTCTAAGAAGTCTATATTTTGTAAATAAAACGACCTTTTCAATGTTGCTGTGCCCGTTTTAAAAAAAAATACGACAACTATAAAAGTTTCGACCGCTAAAAGGGAGCAGTAACCAGAGAAAACTACCATCCAGTATATAGATTTGACTAAACGTAAAAGTTTAACGCGATCGGTAAAATGGTTATGAAGTTATTAATTAAATTAATTTTATTTTTGACAACTTTGAAGGCCTGTAACTCAAAAACCAAACATTTTTTATTTGATTTTTTTTCATAGATCGTATTTATTTATTGTCGTGAATATGCAGTCAAACTTTGTCGATGAAATTTGCGGACACCCTGTATAACTAAACTGACACGGGACATAAAAATGTTCCTTTTAGTAAAAAATTTCCTATGAACAAAGATTCGAAATTGTCAGCTACACATGTAATGTTAAATACCTACTAATAATTTAGTATGTAGTTAAAAATTGCAAAAATTTATTCCTCCTGCACAGTTTGATCTGTGCCACAGAGCACCATCTGTGCAGATAAATGTTATAATTTATTCTTAAAATTACATATTCAAATTGGTTACGTTTATAGACTCACTTTGTATACAAAGTGATAGAGGGTGTTAAGTTTTCATTAGAACTAACTGTAAAAAAATATCTATTTACATTATTTCTACTGTTACTTAAAGAACAGAATAAATAAATAACTAAAATTCATTTCAGCCGTGAGACCTTATCATTCACCTCCTATAGGTTTCCAAGGACTAAAAGGCGAATCAGGTAACTGATTTCATTAAGCTACATAAAGGGTGATTAAGAACTAATCCAAAAAAAATTTTGGTAGCACAGGGACGAAAAAATCAAAATGGGCAGTCCGAAAATGATTTAAAAATACACTTCTGCACGGCACTGGAAACTGGTCCGCTGTAAAACCTGACTTCGCACAATGCGACCGGCGTGGCGGCAAAATGTGATAAAAACGGATAAAAATTATACATACATACATACATACATACATACATACATACATACATACATACATACATACATACATATATACATACTTACATACATACATACATACATACATACATACATACATACATACATACATACATACATACATACATACATACATACATACATACATACATACATACATACATACATACATACATACAGCACCTACTTTATATCAGCAAATTCAACTGCTTTGCCGCTATTGTTATTATTAATTGGTTACAAACTGGTTACGTATGTTAGATTCACTTTGTATATGTGATATAGGGTGTTAAGTTTTCGTTGGAACAAACTGTAAAAAAATATATATTTATATTACTTCTACCGTTACTTTACGTTACGTTAAGAACAGAATAAATAAATAACTAAAATTAATTTCAGCCGTGGGATCTTATCAGTCAGCTCCTCTAGGTCTTCCAGGATTAAAAGGTGCTTCAGGTAACTGATTTCATTAAGCTACATATATTTTATATCCTCACCATTGGTTCACTAATTTGTATACTTCCGATTTAACTCATTCATGAATAAATGAATAAATATTATGGTAAATAATAAAAGTAAAGTGGTGAAAATTTCCCTTTAAATTGTATTAAAACAGTTTAATTATTTTTTCAATTTAAACCTAAAATAACAAAGTTGATCAGAGGTTAAACTTATATACAGGATTCTTCACGGTAAGTGGCCTATTAAACGTTTCAGAGGAACCAAAGACAATATGACTGAAATTTTGTTTGCGGGGGTTACCAGGTATGTTCCCTTCAATGAAAATAATGACATCAACGTAGCACTTCCGGTTATACCGGAAGTAGCTGTCAACTTCGTTATTTTAAATGAAATATCCTATATATTATTACATTATCGACAAGGTAAATTAAAAATAAGTCAAAAATGTTATAGCTTCCTTGTACCAAAAAAACCGTTTTCGAAATAATCGACGTTATATAAAAATTTTAACAGATGCAAGCATTTCGAAAATTCTTTATATCTTTCTTCGTTCTGGAAGCTTTCACTTGCTTTTCGGAATACACAAAGAACATAAGATGCATTACCTTCCTCTATCAAAATTACCTGAAGAAAATTATACTAAGTGTCCCATTTTTCACGTTGCATTTTGAAAACTTAAAACCGACTTTTTAAATTCAAATGGAACACCCTATATCTCTCTGTATCATATTATAGAAAATCAAATTCTCTTGTATGGGTTGCAATTTCAGTTTTCTCAGATATTTGCGGTTTACTTCCATTCTCAATAATATTACGTTAAAAATATCATCATTCTACAAGTTTCAAGTATTTGCTCGACAAGAAATATGCAAAATAATTATTCTAATGATGTTTTGAATTTATTTTATATCCGTGAAACATTCACCGTGAATCAAAATTATTAGCTGTATTTCTATGATTTGGGATTTTGCAACTGAAATAGAAAAATTATTGAAATGATTTCGGTTGGTTTTCTTAGAATTTTTCTCTAATGTTTAATGTTGTCGTAAAAGTTTTTAAATAGCAAAGACAATAAATAACGTCATTTTAAATAACTAATAAATGCATTATTATAATTTTATCATATTTTGGAATGAAGTTGAGAGGATACTATAATTTAAAATTTTGGTTACTTCACATTTAATTGTTTTCTTAATGAAAGGATGCTTATTTGCTCTTTATTGTACTTGTAGTAGCTAATAATAGTATCTCAATGAAAGGAAATTTTATTATATATTATTATTGTGTAAATATACTCCCTCATTATTTATAAGATGCAACAAACGTGAAACAACGCACTTTATTAATGTAATGTGTAAATGGTCGAGCTTCATTCTCGTCCAATTCTTCACATATTGCAAAATACCAAATCATAGAAATGCAGCTAATACTGATTCATGGTGAATGTCCCAATGATATAAAATAAATTCTCAATATCTTCGTTAGAATAATTATTCTGCATCTTGTCGAGAAAATACTTGATACTTGGAGAATACTGAATGACAATACTAATATTTGCCTTTCAATGCACATTTGATGATATTTTAACGTAATATTCTTGAAAATGTAAGTAAACCCTTTGACTATATACACTGTATATAGTCAAAGGTAAACCGCAAATATCTGAGAAAATTGAAACTGTAAACCCTACAATGCTTATATCGGTGACAAGAGAATTTTATTTTCTATAATATGATGCAGAAAAATATAGGGAGTTCTATTTGAATTTAATAATTAAGTATTATTAGTATAATAAAAGTATTTATTAGTATAATTTTCTTCAGGTAATTTTGATAGCTGAAGGTAGTGTATCTTATGTCCTTTGTGTATTCCGAAAAGCAAGTGAAAGCTCCAGGAACGAAGAAAGATATAAGGAATTTTCGAAACGCTTGCATCTGTCAAATATTTTGTAAAATGACGGTCATCTCAAAAACGGTTAGATTTAGGTACAGGGAAGCTTTAACATTTTTGACTTATTTTTAATTCATCTTGTCGATAATGCCCTAATATATAGGGTGTTCCATTTAAAATAACGAAGTTGAAAGCTACTTCCAATATAACTGGAAGTGCTACGTTGATGGCATTATTTTCATTGAAGAGAACATATCTGATAACCCCCGTAAAGAAAATTTCAGTCATATTGTTTTTGGTTCCTCTGAAATGTCTAATAGGCCACTTACCGCGAAGAACCCGCATATAAAAAATATATGCAAAAGCCTATTTAACAAAAGTTTTAAAACGCCTTTGGTAGGGTATTCTTGTATACGCCGTCACTGGGCGGCATAAACTGGGGTATCGGAAGCTAATATTTTATGTTGTATTCCTGTACTATCAGCGTTGTTTTTATAACTTATCAGGGTGTTATATTAAATCTTAAATAAAATAAATAAAACTAATTTATTTCAAAATAATTATTTTTGTTATTTTAAAAAATGAATATAATAAAATATAAATAAAAATACTAATCTGATATAGGTACATGAAATATTTTTCTTAAAATCGTTTAAAATATTTACAAAGAGTTATGTCACTATTTCTTTAAGCAGTGTTTCTATTTAATTTGTGAATCTCAGTGTCAATGACCTCTGATATTGATCTAGTTTAGCAGAACTATACTACTGTCACTGCCAGTTTAAATTTAAGCAGAATCCCATCATATTCCGAACGCTTCCGAAGCGAACGGTGGTAAGCAACAGCTATGCTGTTGAAATGCCATACCGACTTTGAGAGGCGGTGACTGCAAATTGTCTTTACACCTGGTATGATGTGACGGGATAGTAAATGGCATACTAATTGAAAGTAAAAAACCCCAACTGTTTTCAAAAAGGGAATTTTCATGTTAGGTACTTTCATAAAAAATATGAATGCTAACTTGAATTTCACAGTTGTTTCGAACAGTTTTATTTATTTTTTTGTTATATTTTACGCCTAAAATGCATTCAGTCACATTTTTATATCAATTAATGTACCCCACGCACAGAACAGATTCCCAGCACAACAGATTTGGACTGAATTGCACTAGTTTATTTTAAAACTATTAATAAATATAGAGGCCAAAATAAGCTTCAAATTACCACCAATAATTGTATTTTTGCATATTTTATTGCTGTTCCCCGTAAAGACAATGCTCAATACTCAAATTATTACAGCACGTACGTGACACCCAGAGCGGATCTGTTATTTGCCATCTGTGCGTTTGTCGTATAGAACAAACTTTTGTGTAGATATTTCTCCCAGCTACCCCTTTTCCAACACTTGATTGTTGGACATCTCTCCATCGGTACATTATAATAACATTGTAGTGCGCGTCTGTATACGTCACAGAACGAGAGGAGCATACTATGAAATTTCAATTATTTTTTCGCTCTGTTTTAGGATACCGTGGTTACATTCACCAACCAATTGCCGGACGTAAGTCTTATTTCATTGACTAGATTTAATGCGATGGTTTTTGGATAACAAAGAAAATCATTGATTCCACTATGAATGTTGATCTTATATCGACTCTCTTATAGGGACGTATAATCCAAGAAATGGATATACCCATACGCTTCTACGTGATAATAGGGACGATATATTTGTTTCTTCTTCTACTATAGATTACCTTCACCAGCCGCTCTTTCCATCGACAACGACAACAACATCAACAACTACAACACCAAAACTCGTGGATATGTTGCCGTGGCTTGCATCAAAATTAAATCCAAATGGAACTTTAACTATTGGCCAAGGTGGGTAACCTACATTTTATTGTTAGTATTGATGGCGCTACTGTTGATAGTAGGTAGCTATAAATGGTTTAAGAGAACTATGAGAACTAAAACTGTCCTAAAGTAGTCAGAGCAGACTCTGTCTTAAATTCCACCATTCTTCCTTTGTATGTCTTATATCTGAGTAATTTTTTCCTGAATAAGTTATATTTTGAGATATTTTTAATTTAATTTGAGATAATTCTTCCTCCCTCTTCCCCTCTTCCTTCCTCTTCCCCTCTTGAAAATCAGTCATGTAGAGATTCTACCAAAGAGTGATGCCTGAAAGTAGTTACAGGTTATTTCGGGAAAGCAGAATTGACACTTATAAAAATAAATGTGATTTATTAAACAAAACAACAGAACATTAGGCTTTTTTCGCGAGTGAAGTTGTATGTTGTGGTATGTGTAGTATGAGTGAGTGAAAAGATTTAAACTATCATATGACAACTAAGATCAAAAGAGATGGAAATAGTGACTACAAGTCAGATATTCGCCAATATTCAGTCGCGAAAAGAAGCCTATTGTAAATGTGTGTAAAGCGAACAGTGTAAATATGACACAAAAACGAAGTGATTTAAGTAAATCACATTCCATTAATTTTTACCTATTAGTAGGGCAAATTAACTTTTTGGGCAGCTATACCCAACAGCATGTAATCTTGCAAAATATGCAAGAGAACGTTTTTTTACCTTTATTTGAATCTGGGAATATTTTTGTTTCAGATGTTTATGAATTGGGAGACTTCTCATATCCAATGATAATCATACAAAAGCCATGCCTCAAAACACCTTTCGATGCTACGCAAACTGGAACATGTTCTACCTTGCCCCGTTGCCCCGATGTTTACTCTAATCTGACAAATTTCTCCATTTATCAGCAATATTTCTGTGCCATCGAAACAACTGATAAGAAGTAAGTATCTTTGTAGTACATATATACATGTTATTACGATTTAGACAGTATTTAGTCAATTCTGTACAAAATTATTTATGTATACGTATTTTAACGGCACTAACATTTGTAAATTCAAGTTCTACTACATTTTGAAATTAGAGAAAAAAGATTTGAATGTTCAATCTTCAATAGAAAAGAGAAAAATGATTTGTATGTTTAATCATTAATAGGAATTTAAATTCCAATACTAATAACTAGATGTTTTTAAACATTTTTTGATATTTTTTAAATGCACTTCTTAATTATTTTCATTTTTCAGATACGCTGGAGTATGCTGCCCTCTGCGAAATCAGAAAAATGATATTTTTTAAAGGTTCATTATTTCTTGATTTCAATATTATACCTATAAATACATGTATGTATCTATTATTTCAATGTTAATAATATATCAATTACAGGTGCAAGTGTGATTTCATTTCAATCCTTTTTATGCTTAAAATGTCTATACAGTGATTCAGAACTTATTCAAAAAAACTTTTGAATGTACAGGGAACTCTTACAAATACAATTATGTAAAAAAAGAAATCGAAAGGAGCAGTTCGAAAATGATTTAAAAATACACAGCACGGCACTGGAAACTGGTCGACTGTAAAACCTGACCTTGTGCGAGGCAAAGCAAGACAAAAAATTGATAGAATATAACACAACTATATAAAACTTAACTTTTTTTAAACCATAAAAATTGATGTGTAAGTCAAATATGACAATTCATATTTCTTCTGTTTGTTTATTTGCTTTTATAGTATAATAATTGTAAAGTAATTGGTTTTGTAAACTACGCTACCATAAAGTATCAAAGAAAAGGTGACAGAAAAGGAACGCAGAAAATGCAGTCATTGGTAATTTTATACATTCCTTTGGAGAGGTAAAAGGGCAGGAGGTAAGGAGTAAATTTAACTTTAACATGCATTAAAACAAACTCAATAGTTTTTTAATAAACACAATATTTTTTTTCATAAAGCATATCTTAAAAATTAATTTTCAAAATATCTACTTTACCTACAGGATTCCTTGTCGAATTCTTTGGTCTTCCGTTTGGATTGAAAAATATCCGGAAACATTTCGATAATGAGAAAATTTTAAATAAAAACTTCTAAAAAAATAAGAAATCAGCTATGAATATTTCTTATCAGTTATTTTTACAAAATTATCTATGTAACATGCTTAGAAATTGTTTAAAATACTTCCTTATTTCAATTACTACCTAACAAAGTACAAATGTTCAACAAATCCTTACCAAGTCAAAAAACAAATTGTAAAAATGATGCAGGTGACAAAATTTATTTAAATACTGCCTACTCACTCTTTTATAAGTGAACCTGTAGCAGCTCCAGATTATTAATTAAAAAAATAGTCACTAAAGCATGCTTACATGACAAATCTTCATGCCAGTCGGTCGGTTCTCATACGCATGTGTATTATTAGATTAAATGACATTATTTTAATGTCCTTTAAGTTAGTTGCACTTGTTAAGTTGTTGAAGATTTTGATCATTGTTATTAGCTTTGTTCCTAGTGCATTAGAAACAGTTTCTAACAGTCATATGCAATCGCTTTTGATTCGAAACAATTAAAAATTATTTATTATTTCAAACCAGATAAATCGTTTTAGAAATTTTCATCTTAATTTGAAATCGACAAACTAGCCACAGAAGAGAATAAATGCTGGTAGTAAGTTAATTTTTTGAGTCGAAAGAGAGATTCAAAGTGAAGAAAAAGGTTGTCAGAATGAAAACACTTATGTAATGTTCTAGTTGTCATTTGTGATAATTTGTATCGGTATTTACGTATTATATAATAATGCTAAAGTAAATAAATATTTGTAGATATTACTGTTTTTTTTTTTTTGTTTCGATGTCGTGTATCTTCGTTTCTCCTTCAGATTCAACATGAATGCGTATAAATGTGTACGAGAATTGGAATGAAATTTTCTAGAACTGGGTTGTTACATTTAAGGTTCCCCAGAAATCTTGGACTCTATTTTTTTCAAAACATGATGTCATCGAATATTTTTAGTTTATATAACCTGTGTAACTTATATAACCAACGATGCTCAAGTTTTTACACATTTTCTTATGTCAAGATTTCATTATATGTGGTCAAGATATGCTAAAATGTCAAGTTTCAACATAGATAAAAACAAAATTGATAGTAAAAAATTAGAATAATTTATAAAAGAGTGTTCAGAATTTTAACGATTGTTTTGGAGCTTAGAAATTGAAAATTTTATTTCTTTTTATTTTATTGTATTGAGTGATAGAAGATGAGGTAAATTTTGACAAACAATATTTCAACAATACCTTAACATAGAGCAACCAAATTTGGTACGTGATTTGTGTTTATTGTTATCTTTATTGGGTAAAAATATGAATTTGTTGGAAGCCAAATAAAGGCCGGGCTAGGGGTAGGGCGCCCTTAAAATTATATCGGATTTTTTTATCAGTAAGCATATCATTAGATAGTTTTACCAGTATTACAAGCAATTTAATTTAAAAAAAAAATTATTCATTCAAATTTTTGGAAAAAGCAACAGTTTTTGATCGGACAAGGAGTAAAATTTTACGACTAGTAGGCTATGATTTCATGTGTCATTTTTGACATTTACAAAGACTGCACATTACCACATACTATTCCATCGTCTTAAAAAGTGCCTACAAAATTTTCATTTCGTGAAAAAGTTGACATGTTGTTAGTATTGGGGTTTTGTGAGGGTAATTGTCCACGAAGTGTACAGGAGTACCGAAGAATATTTCTTGACCGTTTGATTCCACACCAAGAGACCTTTGCTAATGTTTAGAGGAGGGCTCCAAAGATTGGATCGTTTCTAGTCAGCAGTTTGCTCCATCCTTATGATATCCAAAATATTCCGCAATTGTTACCCCAAGATTTAGGCCAAAGACTAAGTTTTTGTAATTTCATTTTGCGTGAGGGTATTAGGTTTCATGAGAAGATTCTTTTTACGGACGATACCTGTTTCACTCGAAGAGTGAATATAAATTTGCATAATTTTCATGAATATTCGGAAGAAAATCCACATGCAATAATTCCTCGCCATTTTCAAAATGAATTTATTTATTTTTTTTTTACAAAATACTCTCCCTAGGCTACCTTTGCAATTAAGACGACAAATGTGGTTCATGCGCGATGGTGCTCCACCGCATTTTAGTGCTAATGTACGAGACTTCTTAAACCAGCAGTGCCCGAATAGATGGATAGGACGAAGAAACAATTGTCCAGAAAATTGGCCATCAAGAGTCAGTAAATCTGAATAAATGTAATTTCTTTCTCGGAGGGACTTTAAAAGAATTTGTTTATTTTACACCGGTTGTATCTGAAGCAGATTTATGAAATTGTATAAATAATAAATGTAACGCCATAAAAATGATCTACAGTTATTGCGCAGAGTAGACTTTAATTTTCGGCGGAGGGTTTTATGTATTATAGAAAATGGTGTCCATTTTCAACAGTTATTGTAGTGCTATTTAACGATATCGATAGTTCATGTGGTTAAAGCTGAATTTGTTAATGTTTTGTTTGTAAGGTTTCCCTTTTTTAAAACAAAACAACAAACAAATAAAGAATCTAATTTAATGAAATAACTTTGTGTTGATACTTTTTTTTGTAAACGTCAAAAATGACACATGAAATGATAGTTTACTAGTCGTAAAACTGCATACTTTTTCGGAAATTTTGTAAGGGTAAAAAATGATTAAAATTAAGTTTCCTGTAATACTGGTAACACTATTTAATAATTGGCATAATGATATGAAAATTGATATCATTTTTAGGGCGCCCTACCCCTAGTCCGGTCCTTATTGGCTTCCAACAAATTCATATTTTTACCAATTAAAGATAAACGTAAATTATGTACCAAATTTGGTTTCTCTAGTTAAGGCATTGCTGAAATATTATTGTTTTTGGAAATTTAACTCATCTTCAGAAGCCAATATCTCTTCAATTCCAAATTTCCAATATTCCAAAAAAAAATGTTACATATTCGGCATATTTAAAGATCCTCTATACGTACCTGCTCTGTGTAGTTATGACTGTATATATTGCTTCTTTATGCAATGACCACTTAGAACGCTTTCTTACTTATATTGGAAATAGGTAATATTAAGACCACTTTTCAAAATTCACAATTTATTAGAAAAAAGTATTTTACATGTTATCTCGACGAGGTCCGAAAAGTCAATCCCTTATTCTCGTTTCGACACACTGTGTACTCAGCCGCGTGTGCCGATACCCTTAAATTTATTAGTGTTATGACAGGGAAGAACTATCAACATATCACTTTCAATTGAGTATTTTAGAACTCGGCATCGACGTAACCTTGAACCCTAACAGTAATCATAAAATTATAATTTATTCGTATCACTTAGTGCGACATATCGAAAAATTACTGAAATTGGTTCAGTGAAACGTAGACAAGGCGATGCTGCCGGTGCTCCTCTCATTTATCCAGCAAATAATGAGGAAGAAATATTGAGATATTTTTATTAAAAGCCAAGCACTACAACAAATGCAGCCGAACTCATCCTCACCAGTATACCTCGAGGACTTGGAATAATGGAGAGTGGAATTCTACCGCTTTATATTAAAATTCAAATCCAGAAAATGCACATTTCTTAACAAATATTTTGCGGATGGACGAGTCGGACGAGGACATGACTAATTTCCACAATCTACATTATTGGATCGGAGAAAATCTTCAATTTAATAAGGAAAACTAGTTTTCTAAGAAAGTGTGAATGGGATTTTACTTTATTCTGATGAGCTGCTGACGCGTCCAAAAGATGATCCTCTCACCGTCAGACAACGAATTATAGTATTTCAGCACGACGTTTGTTCAGCACTTTATCGGCTAACAGTATAAGAGTTACTGCATAGTTTTCCTAATTGATGGATTGAAAGAGTAGGCCAGCGCGAGGTCCAGATTGAACACCTCTCGATTCCGATGTGTGAGACCATATGACAGAGACGGTCTATGCAACACCGGTCAATTTGGGAGAAGACCTGGGACAAAAGTCAACGCTGTCCAACAAATACGATATATCTCAAAAGGGGCGGATGGGCTCAGGCGGGACACCGGGACAGATCCCGGTGGGCCGCTGCTAGTCGTTACTCTGATGGGCTGGTGGCCGACTCGGACGCAAAACAAACACTTCGCCCTCCACTTTACCGTAGGTATTCGGAACAATTCGGCCGTACCGTAATCGTATATGTGCGGGCGGCGCATGATCCCGCGACACGTGGCTACAGTTTATTATTGTATTGAGTTGTGTGATGTGTGTACTGCGCGGAGTGGCAATTTGTTACCTTTTTGTTCGATAAAA